CAAATTAATCAGGTCAGTTCACCTAAAAGAGACCACAAGGAAGTACCTGTATTTACCTGAAAAATGTGCCAATACCTATTTGAATCTATAAGTAGAATATATTTTATTAAAATCCAGACTGTCATGCTCATTCAAAATAAATTGCTACGGCTATGTCTACACTACGGACCTTATAGTGGCACAGCTGTACTGCCGCAGCTGTGCCTCTGTAAGGTCTCCTGTGTAGCTGCTCTATCCTGGCGAGAGAGCTCTCCTGCCAGCATAATCAAATCACACCCAACAAGCAGCGGTAGCTATGTCAGTGGGAGATGCTCTCCTGCCGACATAGCATTGTCCACACCGGTGCTTTTGTCAGTTAAACTTGTCAGTCAGGGAGGTGGTTTTTTCACACCACTGAATGACAAAAGTTTTGCCAAAAAAAGTGCTAGTGTAGAGAAAACCTAAGTTTAATTGGTTGCAGCTTCAAAGAATTTCCAGTGTTGGGGAGCTCTCAGCTGGCAAGTAAACATTATTGGCTTCTACAGAACCAGCTCCAGCATACTGGGCATGCCTGCAATAAAAGGAGTATGGCCAGAGCACTTCTGAGCCCCATCTATTCTCGACTGACAGATGGCCCCTTTGGTCTTTTACTTTGATCTTTATTCAGAGGGGGAAAAATTGAAAGAAAAATTAAAAGGGGGATCACACTGAATGAAGTACATTGTCTTTGATACCATTGGCCATTAATTATTCTTGACATGCTCTGGAACCTCGGAAGGGGTAGACAGAATTGCTTCAGTGGCTTTGTTTCTGATAGGTTCCAGAAGGTAGAGTGATATTGAGCAATTGCTCATCTACTCCAACAACACCCTCATGCAGAGTTCCATGGTGTTTTTTTTTATTCTGTCATCTTTCTTGTTCAATATGTACATGAGGCTGTTATGTGTGAATTGTGATGCCTCTAGGACAGGGGTGGGCAAACATTTTTGGCCCGAGGGCCACATCAGGGAATAGAAATTGTATGGTGGACCATGAATGCTCACAAAATTGGGGTTGGGGTGCGGGCTCTGGGGTGGGGCTGGGGATGAGGGGTTTGGGGTGCAGGAGAATGCTCCGGGCTGGGATCAAGGGGTTTGGACAGTGGGAGGGGGATCAAGGCTGGGACAGGGGGTTGGGGTGTGGGAAGAGGCTCGGGGGTGCAGGCACCAAGTGGTGCTTACCTCAAGCAGCTCCTGGAAGCACTGGCATGTCCCTTCTCCGGCTCCTATGTGGCAGCGCGCGCGGCCAAGAAGTTCTGCACGCTGCCCCATCCACAGGCACCGCCCCTGCAGCTCCCATTGGAGAGTGTAGGAGCTGGAGCAGGGCCATACCGCGGCTTCCAAGAGCCACGTGGTTCGGCCCCCAACCCTGTGCCCCGGCTAGAGCTCTGGAGCAAGGCCGCGCCGCTTGGTGCTGCCAAAAGCCAGCCCCCTGGCCGAGCGCTGTAGTTTGCCCATCCCTGCTCTAGGATGTAAAACACACCCACAGCTCTATGCCTCAAATTCATTGGACCCAGCCACTGAAGTTTAATAATTTTATAATTCTAGCCGAAACTGGGACCAGGGATGAGAATTAGCTAACAAACTGAACTTAGATAAAATCAAATGTAATACAAATACAGTAGAACCTTAGTTACTAACTGGCCAGTCAACCACACACCTCATTTGGAGCCAGAAGTATGCAATCAGGCAGCAACAGAAACAAAAAATAAATAAACCAAACACAGTACAGTACTGTGTTAAATGTAAACTACTAAAAATAAAGGGAAAGTTAAAAAAGATTTGACAAGGTAAGGAAACTGTTTCTGTGCTTGTTTCATTTGAATTGAGATGGTTAAGCAGCATTTTTCTTCTGCTTCAAAGCTGTATTAGATCAATGATCAGTTGTAAACTTTTGAAAGAACAACCACAACATTTTGTTCAGAGTTAAAAAGATTTCAGAATCATGAACAACCTGCATTCCCAAGGTGTTCATAACTCTGAGGTTCTACTGCAGGAAAAGGAAGCCAACTGGAAGAACTGGTAGAGATCAGCTATATCAGTTAAAGGACAGAGTACTTGCTGTTTATTAAGTTTATAACCAGGGGGATCATGTTAAATTCTTGGTTGCTCATGGAAGTCCAGGTAGCATCCACTACCAAGGGTGCTTTTTCTGCTTGTACCTGGCAAGAAGGCTGCAACCTTTTCTTTTATATGCCAACCTCATGGAAATTATTTATGCCTTTATTATTCAATTAAATTAGTGATACATTAACATGGGTCTACAAATAGGACCCTACATGAAGCTACAATACAGCAGGGATATTCAAACCCTGAGGTACAACTTTTCCCATTATCATTCATTCTGAAAGAAGCAGTCATTTTTCAGGGAGAGATATTACACAATGTAGCACTCTATTTCTGATTGACTGCTATATGCCAGGTTGAGGCATCACCATGGGCAGCTGTCCATCATTGTAGCCTACACTCCCACCGAGGAAACTACAGATGTTAATAAAGATGAATTCTATCAGCAACTAGCAGCAGTGACACAATTCATTCCTTTGCATGACAAATTTATTATACTCAGAGATATGAACTTCTCACCAAGTTGCCCCAGAAATGTCTTCAAAATTTTTCTTGGGCCATTTTGCTCGGGAACTATAAATGATAACTCTAGACGATTACTCTCCTTTTGCTCTTCTCACAATATTGTCATCACCAGCAGTTGGTTCAGGTACTTGAGATCCTGGCTATCTAACAATGGCTGGATGAGGAAGGAGCTGGACCACAACTTGGTCCGGAATTAGGGTATAATAAGGGCATAGTGGGTCTACAGAGGTGCAGAACCCCTGGCAAATAATGACCATCATCTCCTTGTTGCTAAAATGCAATTACTCCCTGGTTTCAACATAAGAGCATGCCTGTTATGATACATAAGGCACAATGCATCTGTGAAGACTCAGCACTTGCTAACAAGTACTCTGTCACAGTGAAAAATAAATTCTATGCACTTGGCACGCTCCTGGATGACACAGTATTAGCCTGGACTGCCATAAGCACAGTCATCCAAGAAACTGTAAATGCCATCCCACAATCAAAATGCTACAAGCAATACTCCTGGCTATCCTCTTTCCCCAAGATGCTGCCCCTTCCCCTAGTGCCCCTCCTTGTCCCCCGGAGGCCCCGCCCCTGGCCAAGCCAGAAGCCGGAGTGGGGCTAGGGAGCCTGGCCTTGCCCCACTTGGGGTCAGGGTCGGCCGAAGCAGCCCCCTGCCCATGTCCCTGCCCCCTGGGCCCCTTGCCAGGGCAGGTGGAGGGACCCAGCTCCCCACAGCTGCCCGTGCAGCTCTTATCCTGACCTGGCTCCGGCCAAGGGGTGGGGCCTGGAGCCACAGCCCGGCCATAGTAAGAGCTGCACGGGCAGCTGTGGGGAGACAGTGCAAATCCTCCAGGCTGCTCTTGGGCCCCTTGCACTGCAGGAAGATGGATGGTCCACTCCAGCTCCCCACAACTGCCCACATGGTTCTTACTATGGCTGGGCTGTGGTTCCAAGGCCCCACCCCTCAGCTGGAGCCGGGTTGGGATAAGAGCCATGCGGCAGCTGTGGGGAACCAATGCGGACCACAACTGCCCGGGCTTCCCGGCTGGGCTCCATCAGCTGCTGGCCTACTAGGGAGATGGGAGCTTGGGGGGGAAGAGGATGGGAAGGGGGTGGGGTCTCGTGGTGAAAAGTGAGAGGGCCATGGCCCCCGGCCCTCCTGTTCCGGTGCCCCTGCTTGATGACCCTGTTCACAGCCAACTTATATCCTTCTACTTCCTTAGGTTTCACAACCAGAATGACAATATCACTTCCTATTACATTAGGAAGATTATAATGACCTAAGGAATGAAGACCTGGTCACTTCAAAGATCTACCAGATTAGTCAGTTTTCTTCATTTTGTAAAAAAGGCATTTTAAAAACTGTTATATAAAGAGTTTGATTTCAACTGTATGTTTTAACCAAGTAAAATATTAGGACTGTTCCATGGCCAAATAAGATACATACATATTTTTCGTAGAGCAATATTTGAATGGCATAGTAAAAGGTAATCTGACTTACAACTCTCCTACAGTGGTTAACACTAAACAGTGTGATATCAGCTCACCAGAATACTTCATGTAGGAATAGGAAAGTAGTAATTGTGATAAAGTCAGTATCACACTAAGATACAGGGGCTTGTCTACATAGTAAGGTAGTGTTCACCAGCTGGGGTGTACAGTCTAGCATGCAACAGCATGTCTCTCACTAACTGGCTGCATAGACCTGCTGGTGCATACTAGAAATTCCCTTCTGTGCACTCGTGTAGAACTGTATAAAACAGGACATCAGTGTGCACTAGGCAACTTTTAGTGTGTACCAGTAGGGTCGACACAGCCAGTTAGAGACATGTTGATGCGCACTAGAATTTACATCCTACCTGGTGCACACCAATGCACAGTGTAGACAAGCTCATGAAAGCATCTTCAAAACCTTTTAAATTGCTTTTTTAATTAAATATTAGCAAGGAATTTTCTAGGCATTCCCTATGCTAAAGCGGAGGTAGTATTGCAATAACATTATCCAGTTTTTAAAGGTGATCACTGAAATAAATACATTTTTTAGAGTCAGCCACTCTATATGAACCACTATGTGAATGTGTTTTACCACTCCATATGGGAGACCACTGAGCCCTCCTGATCCTACTTTGGATTTATCCTAAGAAAACTAGCAGAATAATAGCTAGATATAATAATATCCTTCTAAATTTTATAAAGAATTTTCATAATTTGATTCCAATCACTAAACTCATTTTAGTATATAAAAGCATTAAATTTTTTGAGTCAAAACTTAACCTTGCTTAAATGCTTTACAGCAGCCCATATTGATGCAAAATGCTAATTCTTCAGAAAATCCTGGCACCATTTCATTGAACTTGAATCTAAACAGAACCTGTAAGTATTTGCAAGTTGCCTTTTGCATACCTCTTCAGCTTTTTGAGCTTCTATGTATTTGTCCAAGTAGATTCCCTGTAGTACAGAGCCCACAATAGTCAATCCTTTACCAGCCTTCAACTGAGAGGTGAAAGAAAGCAATCTAGGGTGTTTAACCACCTGTTCCGAGTCCAAATTCAACAAAACCAAGACTTGAGGTCTGCAGTATTCAAAAAAAAAAAAAAAAAAAAAAAAAAAAGAAAGACAACTAGAAAATTAAAATTATAACAGAATCATTAATAATCAAATGATCTAGTGTTCAATTGCAAACAAGATAAACTATCAAGCAAAGAAGCCCAGACAAATTTTAGGTCATCAAACTTTGTCAGAGAACTGATAATGTAGAATATCTATAGAGATATATAGCACTCTCTGCTGACCTTCTGTTGTAGCTTTACTCTTAAAAATGGCAGATTGTTAATTATTCAGCAATCTTCTTGTTTCAGAGTCAAATCTGCTTACTTATTCAGCAATCTTCTTGTTTCAGAGTCAAATCTGCTTACTTAATTGACAAAATTATTTTTCTGACATTTGTCATTGCTATAAATCCAAAATAGCTATGAGAGAGTATAGGGTTCTACTTCTTTCTTCAATATCAGCATAATTGTTAATTAAATTCTAATGGCAAGATCAAATTCTACCTTCAATTACACCAGTACAACATCAGACTATATCAGGACGTTCCCAGAAATATTGCACTCAGAGGTTAATATTCTAACATTAAAAACTGTCTAATTAATGTGAAATAATCAGGCCTTTTATCCCACTTGTCATTTCCAAAGTCTAATTATCAAGAAGTGCCATTATAATAAATATAATAAAACATGGATTTTAGAAACGGCCATTAACATTAAGAAAAATAAAACCTCATGTTAAATAAGTGTAGTGGAGCCACTTATAATCAACTTGGATTTAGTTGAAATTTTATTAAGTAAAATAAATTAAGAAATTACTAAAAATAACTGTGTGACAGAGTACAGGAGGCTAACAAGTACCCAGCCCTGTGATCACTTAAGCACTATTTAGTTCCCCTGGAGAAGACTGATTGTGGAATCTGCAGCTAATTGGCTGACCAGTCTGGGAGGCTGATGAGCCACTTAGCTGTCAGATGAAACTATAAAAGAAGACACAGAAAGGAAGTGAGGGAGAAAAAAATTGGTTAGTTGAGCACAGTATGCAAGGGAGAGATATCACTGTTCCTCTCTGGCCCTGAGGGACAGGCAAGAAACTACTCTGCATATTTGGCTGCACAAGATTGTATTGGGGTTGGTGGCAGGAATATAAATAAAATAATGTGGAGGTGCCACTCACTGGAGAGTCAGACATTTCTAGGCATGACAGTGTGGGAACGGAGCATGGCTTGTTACACACTGCAATGTGCAAACTCCAATTCTAATTTCAGTGAACTTTGGCTATTAGTTTAGTTGTTTTATAAACATAATATCTCTCTATGAATCCTGCACTAGTTTTAAGATTACTGAAATCTACACAGTGTTTCATCATCAGCAATATTCCTACTTCTAAAATTATTCGTATTTAAAGTAGGGGGACTTCATGGATTCTTACCTCCAGTTTTTCGTGTGAGGAGGACCATGTTCAACCCGAAGTAAAGCATAGCGAGCTGCATTCAAGGATAACCCCCTGATTCCATCACCCCACTCTTTTTCAGCTCTTCAAGGTATAGAAAAAGGGATTGCATTAACAGAGTACATTTTCTAATGCAATATAAAACAGTCTCTTTATAATGAAATGACTTGTTTAGCTGACAGAACACATTCAAAAAAGACATCCTATATGAAGGATTGTACAGTGTTACTCACAATTCGCCTCATAAAATTGGTCCTGTTACTCCCATAACCTAAGGATTTAACAAACTAAATCCAATAATCATATTTTAGGTGGGAAAATTAAATAAAAATGTTAGCTATTTGAGCACTGGCAAAAGACCAAAAAAAAAATCATTCCTCTCGCTACAGAACTGGCAATGGAGCCTTTGCTCCCCATGTAAATAATGAAGAGGACAGGTCACTGATAATACATCTACACAGCCCGCGGCAGCAAGCCTCCCACTCTGGATTGACAGAGTTGTGCTTGTGCTACCACACTAAAAATAGTTGTGTAAATGCTGCAGCTTGGGCTAGAACTCAGACTCTAAAACCTAGAGAAGGGGGCGGGGCTTCAGATACCAAGCTCCAGCCCAAGACGCAAGTTCAAAGAGTTGCTTGCAGAGATATTTTTAGTGTGGTAGCATGAGCCCCATGAGCCTGAGTCTGCTGACCCAGGCTGGGAGGCTCGATTCCACGCACTATGTCAACATACCCTGATACAGAGCAATCTGGACCACTAGGCTGGGCCCAAATAAACAATATGGGTTTTAATATGACTAAATGTAAATGTATATACCTAGGAACAAAGAATGTAGGCCATAGTTACATGATGGGGGACCCTATTCTGGAAAGCAGTGACTCAGAAAAAAAATTGTACAAACTCCCTGTGGCCAAAAGGGCTAATGCAAATCTTGGATGCACAAACAGGGGGAATCTCAAATAGGCATAGGGAGGTTATTTTACCTCTGTATTTGGCATTGGTACAATCACTGCTGGAATACTCTGTTCAGTTTTGGTGTTCGCAATTCAAGGATGTTGATAAATTTAAGAGAGTTCAGAGAAGAGCTATGAGGATGATTAAAGGGTTAGAAAACATGCCTGATAGGGATAGACTCAAGAAGCTCAATCTATTTAGCTTAACAAAGAGAAGGTTAATGTGTGACTTGATGACAGTCTGTAAATACCTACATGGGGAACAAATATTTAATAATGGTCTCTGCAATCTAGCAGAGAAATATACAACGTGATCCAATGGTTGGAAGTTGAAGCTAGACAAATGTAGACTGGAAATAAGGCACACATTTTTAATAGTGAGAGTAAGTAAATAGTGGAAGCAGAGTAAGTAAGCAGTGGATCCTCCATCACTGACAATTTTTAAATCAAGATTGAATGTTATTCTAAAAGATATGCTGTACAAATAATTTTGGGGAAGTTCTATGGCTTGTGTGATATAGGAGGTCAGACAATGATCATATTGGTTCCTTGTGGCTTTGGAATCTATGGATCTATGCATGTGAGACTTGATTGGTTAAAGAACTCAATATACAATCTGACGAGATGCCTTTTTTGCAAGGATTTTCCTTAGCAAAAGGAATGAATAGGAACCAAAAACTCTCAATCTCTTAAGGTGCCACAAGTACTCCTTTTCTTAATCAAAACTGTTACTGATGTTTCTGGAGACTAACCTATGAATAACCTCATTACCTGGTGCCTATAACCTGTGGGAAGCTATGAGCTCCACTGATTATTGAAATGCTATGATCACTTCATGGTCATTCATCCTCGTCCATTCTCATTCATTCTATAACTCTCCTATCTACTGTTATATCAGAACTGAGAGAACCAGAAATAGGGACCAGATGTCCCGATATTATTGGGGCCTCCCGATATTAGGGGCTTTGTCTTATATATGCAGCTGTACCCCCCAACCTCTGAAAAAAAGTGTACAGATTTTTCATACTTGCTATCTGGTCACCCTAGCCAGAAATTAGTTTGGCCCCAATTGTGAGGAATTCATTGCAGAATTTGAGCTATACTGTGAATTTTTCTGCTGCAGGGAATTTGTTTTAGCATATAAAACTGTTCCTTGTTCTTTTCTTATTTTGGCATCAGTAAGCTCCAGATATTTTTATTCTTCTCAGAGTACTATGACTGCTTTTTAAGAGGTTAAAGATAAATAATATGCTAGACAAAATGCATGGGTGGTCTAATATAGAACTGGCCAAAACATGGGATTTCCACTTGCAGGAAATTTCTCATTTTATGAAATTTGGTTTTCTTCCAAATCAGAATAAAATCATGCTTATTTTATTTAAACTTTTCCAAGAACCAGAAATATCCCCAAAAAATCATTTTAGCAACACCAACATAAGGTGTTTCTGAAACAAAATTTGCGCCCCAACCCTGACAGCTGCTGTCAGAAATTAATGTTCTTGTTGGCTTCATCACTGCTATTAGCATTTGGAAGCTTCTGTGGCTCTGAAGCAGCCCTATCATGCAGATTGCCCTTGTCTGGGGACCCAGGGCTTCCTGACACTTCGGTCAGCTAGTGGGAATCTGGAAGCCCTGGAAGGGTGTCTCCCTGGCCCAAGGCAGTCCATATGGCACCACTGCCCTGGAGCTGTAGACCCTGGAAGCGCTTTCCAAAACGTCCAGGCTTCCATGCTCCCTGCTGCAGAGCCAGGGCACCTAGGACTTCCAGGCTCATGGCATGGAGCCTGGACATCCTGGCATGGCTGTCTGCCCTGGAGCCACAAGTCTCAGAAGACGCAGACTCCTTAGCAACCCAGCAAGCTGGCAGGCAGGATTCCATCAGAGCTCCACCTTTGATCCACTTTGGTCCAATCAAAGGTATTACCTCACCCACCTTATCTCTCCAACCAGCTCTAGTTTGTTAGACATGTCTAAGGGTAGTCTACACAGCATGGACTAGCCTCCCTAAGCTAGGCTGAATCCAGCTCACACAGGAAACAATAACAGTGAAGTCAGTGCAGCATGGGCTTCAGTCTGAGTAGTATAAGCCAGGTACAGATGCTGGATGCATGCTCAGCTTGCTATCCCATTTTGAAGCCTGCACTGTGCTAAATTCACTGCTATTGTTACCTGCATTAGCTGGATTACCTTGTAGGCATCTCAGTAACTCCCTTTTCAATGTAACATCCGTGTTAGTCTGTATTTGCAAAAAGAAAAGGAGTACTTGTGGCACCTTAGAGACTAACCAATTTATTTGAGCATAAACTTTTGTGAGCTACAGTTCACTTCATTGGATGCATACTGTGGAAAGTACAGAAGATCTTCTTATACACACAAACCATGAAAAAATGAGTGTTTACCAGTACAAAAGGTTTTCTCTCCCCCCACAAACCCACTCTCCTGTTGGTAATAGCTTATCTAAAGTGATCACTCTCCTTACAATGTGTATGATAAATCAAGGTGGGCCATCTCCAGCACAAATCCAGGGTTTAACAAGAACCTTGGGGGGGGGGGGGGGGAAGAGGTATGCAAGGTAACCTATTTCCCCTTGTTTTTTCCTCCCCCCTCCCCCCCCCCAGACGTTCTTGTTAAACCCTGGATTTGTGCTGGAGATTGCCCACCTTGATTATCATACACATTGTAAGGAGAGTGATCACTTTAGATAAGCTATTACCAACAGAAGAGTGGGTTTGTGGAGGGGGTGGGGAGAAAACCTGGAGTTGTACTGGAAATGGCCCAACTTGATTATCATACACATTGTAAGGAGAGTGATCACTTTAGATAAGCTATTACCAGCAGGAGAGTGGGGTGGGGGAAGAGAAAACCTTTTGTAGTGGTAAACACTCATTTTTTCATGGTTTGTGTGTATAAAAAGATTTTCTATACTTTCCACAGTATGCATCCAATGAAGTGAGCTGTAGCTCACAAAAGCTTATGCTCAAATAAATTGGTTAGTCTCTAAGGTGCCACAAGTACTCCTTTTCCTTTTCAATGTGGCAACTCCAATGACAAAGTTATTTTATCAGTTCCCCCAGTTTTCTCTTTCATAACTAGTATATTTGTATTCCTACCTTGAAGTATTAGTTTCAGTGCATTCATTTTGCCAAATATGTCCACCAGGTACATTAATGTAGTCAAGGACACTTTACACATGGGATCTGCAAGATGTGGGGAACCACTCTTCCTGTCTGAGTTCACAAGTTCAGGCAAGATTGCTTAAATTTATCCTTCATAGATTCCTATATATCAGGGGTAGGCAACCTATGGCATGCGTGCCAAAGGTGGCACGGGAGCTGATTTTCAGTGGCACTCACAGTGCCCAGGGCCTGGCCACCAGTCTGGGGGGCTCTACATTTTAATTTAATTTTAAATGAAGCTTCTTAAACATTTTAAAAACCTTATTTACTTTACATACAATAGTTTAGTTATATATTAAAGACTTATAGAAAGAGACCTTCTAAAAACATTAAAATGTATTACTGGCATGCGAAACCTTAAATTAGAGTGAATAAATGAAGACTCGGCACACCACTTCTGAAAGGTTGCCAACCCCTGCTATAGATTCATAGATTCCAAGCCCAGAAGGGACCACTGTGATCATCTAGTCTGACCTTCTGTACAACACAGGCCATAGAACTTTCTGAAAGTAATTCCTAGAGCAAATCTTTTAGAAAAACTATACAATCCTGATTTTAAAAGTGTCAGTGATGGGGAATCCACTACAACCCTTGGTAAATTGTTCCAATGATTAATTACTCTGACTACTAAAAATTTACACTTTATTTCCAGTCCGAATTTGTCTAGCTTCAACTTCCAGCCATTGGATTCTGTTGTACCTTTCTCGGCTAGACTGAAGAGCCCACTAACAACTATTTGTTCTCCATGTAGGTATTTATAGACTGTAATTAAGTCACCCCTAAACCTTCTCTTTGTTAAACTAAATAGATTGAGCTCCTTGCATCTATCCCTGTAAGATATGTTTTCTAATCCTTTAATCATTCTCATAGCTCTTCTCTGAACTCTCTCCAATTCTTCCACATCCTTCTTGAATTGTTGGCACCAGAACCAGACACAGTATTCCAGTAGTGTTTGCACTAGTGCAAAATACAGAAGTAAAATAACCTCTCTACTACTACTTGATAGTACCCTGTTTATGAATTCAAGGGTCTAGCCCTTTTGGCAACAGCATCACACTGGGAGCACGAGGTTAGCTGATTATCCACCATAACCCCCAAATCTTTTTCAGAGTCGCTGCTTCATTCTGTATACCTTCTTTGTTCTTAAATGTGTGTATTTACATTTATCATTAAAATGCATATTTTTTCCTTGAGGCCAGTTTACCAAGCAATTCAGATCATTCTGAATCAGTGACCTGTCCTCTTCACTGTTTATGAGTCATATGATCTTTGTGTCATATGCAAACTTTATCAGTGATGATTTTATGTTATCCTCCAGGTAATTGATAAATAGCATAGGGCCAAGAATCAATCCCTGAGGCATTTCCATAGAAACATACCCATTTAATGATTATTTCCTGTTTACAATTACATTTTGAGAACTATCAGCTAGTTTTTAAATCCATTTAATGGGTGCCATGTTAATATTAAGGATAAGGAAGTAGAGGAAGAACAGGGAAAAAAGGAAAGACTGCCCTCACAGCCCAAAGTCTGAGGCCTGGAGAGCTCAGAACAGCTATTTACAGAGGCAGCAAAAAAAATTGTGATGCACTTGCTGAGCAGATGTAACAGTGAAGGGGGAAAAAATTCTGGCACCAAAAACTGAACATATCAACTGCCTCTATGGTCTTGGTCAATCCATCAGTCATGATTTCTAGATTACAGGACTCTCTATGCACAAGAATGCACACTTTTGATTAATTTTTATTCACAGACTAACTGGATATCAGAGTTACTCCATTAATAACCAGATTTTGAGTAGCACAAAATATTTTCCAGATATCACATAATACACATGTGATCATGAATGTTATGTTCATCTCATTATTTCCAAAATTTAGATTAATGCAAGACAATTTACAAGCTTCTTTGTCTCCAATGGTGCCTAGTCAATGGTGCCTAGTCATCTGTATATTTTTTGTTTGACCAAACAGCATACTTCACTGAAGATCAGCAAGAAAAAGAATACAAAACAAAAGATTTTTCATCTAAATTTCATCTACAATTGGAGCTGGTCGTGAGATACCAAACTCAAATAGACACACCCAAGTTAGTTCTGCAAGCTGGAACAGAACTAGCATGGGTATGTCTATGCAAGCTGTGGATAAATTGGGGAGAGTCCAGAGGAGAGCAACAAAAATAATAAAAGGTTTAGAAAAACTGACATATGAGAAAAAGTTTAAAAAACAGGGCATGTTTAGTCTCAAAAGAAGAAGACTATGAGTGGATCTGATAACAGTCGTCAAATACGTTAAGGGCTGTTATAAAGAGAATGACAATCAATTGTTCCACCATGTCCCATGGTAGTATCAATATTTAATTACTCTCACAGTTAAAAACTTGTGCCTAATTAAAAAATTTGAATTTATCTGTCTTCAGGTTCGAGACATTGGCTCTTTTTGTGCCTTTAATACCTGTTTTTTCCTGCATAAGGGTATATATACACCCTAATTAAGTCACTTCTTGATCTTTTTGATAAGCTAAAAGTGAACTCAAGTCTCTCTCGGCAAGACATTTTCCCAGATGTCAAATAATTTTCTGGCTTTTCTGTGCATTATGTGTTTGTATAAACAGACACAGAGCGTCTTGGTACTTTGACATTCCATCTGCCTTGCAGAAAGGAGTGCCTTTTTCATACATACGCACATATGTCATTTTCCTTGAAATTTCCTGCAGAACAGCTGGAATTTTAGGGCTTCAAGACCATGTCACTTTTTAAAGCTTGCTACTTGACATTAACATTCAAGCGTAACATTTCATATTTTCCTGGTATTAATTCCCCAATAAAAAAATTAATTAAATATAACAAATGAATAAAATACATCCTCTTACCCTCTATATTCTATGTACTTGTAAATACATCCTGCAATTAGCATGGCAATCAAAGCATAGTACCAAGAGCAAATGAACATCAAGGCAAAACATAAACTCATCCCCAGGAATGAAAGAGCCCTAAAAAGAAGCACATTTTTTAATTTATAACATGCCTGCAAATGTACTACAAAGTCAATTCTTCCATTAAACTAACTCCCAGAAAGACCTCTCTAACAAAAAAGGCTATTTCATAATTTAAATGCATTGTCAACAATTTTAATAATCATTCTGAAAATGCTGAAAACTGAATACAATATTCAATTTATGCCTTCAATGTTCAATTCTGAATCTCTCTACTTGTGCCTACAACTCTCTTCAAGTTTTAAACAGGTCTTAACGTTATTTAACATCTATAACTTTCAAGTCTATTTTAAACTTCAAAAAATATTCTTCATTATTTATATTGTCTATATAAATCCATGTAAAAACAGCCAATATTAACAATATTCTTGTTAAATTCAGTCAATGAAGTATGATATATCTACTGATATGGTGACTTAAGTATGTCATGTGCTAATAAAAACTGGTGTATGATAAGTATCTGTTGTGGTAAGAGACTAAGAAACCTTTTTTATATAAAGGTTAAAAAAAGACAGATTGGGACTTAAAATGGTAAAAAAAAATGTCAAAGTTGATAATCAAAAAGGCAGACGTTTAAAAAATAAAATATAAGCAGACAAAAGGTTTTAAAAGAACAAATATACAAATAAGAATTGGTCATTAAATAAACATGCAGAGGTTTGTGGTTTTTGTTTAAATCACACCAGGCAGAAATAGGATGAGGTTTATAAACAAAAGATTATCTGATGAGTACCAGCAATGACAGATTTGGGCTGTATACTATATTCCTTTATTAAAAATTCTTACACACTCTTTTTGCAGAGCTCTTATACTCGCAGCAAGCCTTTGAAATTTGGCAAGTGGATTGTCCTGGAGTCAACAAGATGCCTTTTGTTGGCTTCAAGAAAATCTCTTTAGATTTGGCCAAGTTACAAGGTGTCAGAAATTCCAACTTCCTATCTGTTTTTCACAAGGCACAGCCTGTTTTTGGTTTGTTGCCAAACATCCCCAAAATTCTATTAACACTCTAGGCAACCATCTCAGGGCATTTCACTTCAGCAGTTCACACAAAGAGCTGAGACTCCAGACAAGACATAGATAAAATAAATATTATTTTTTTCCTCCCAATTAAAATACCCTTTGGCCTAAAGGAAAATGCATGATGCTTGAACCAAGGGAAAATCCTGGAATCATATTCCCATTGACTTCAGTGGGACCAAAATTTCACCCTCAATACTACAACCTGGTGTTAACAGTTCTGTGAACTTCATAGAACTTATTACTGATCACAAGTTGGGAATCCAGATCTCTTTTTTTTTGCCTCTGTCTTCACGAGCAAGGTCAGCTCCCAGACTGCTGCACTGGGCAGCACAGCATGGGGAGGAGGTGACCAGCCCTCTGTGGAGAAAGAAGTGGTTCGGGACTATTTAGAAAAGCTGGACGAGCACAAGTCCAAGGGGCCGGATGCACTGCATCCAAGAGTGCTAAAGGAGTTGGCGGTTGTGATTGCAGAGCCATTGGCCATTATCTTTGAAAACTCATGGTGAACTGGGGAAGTCCCGGATGAGTGGAAAAAGGCTAATGTAGTGCCCATCTTTAAAAAAGGGAAGAAGGCGGATCCCGGAAACTACAGGCCAGTCAGCCTTACCTCAGTCCCTGGGAAATTCATGGAGCAGGTCCTCAAGGAATCAATTCTGAAGCACTTAGAGGAGAGGAAAGTGATCAGGAACAGTCAGCATGGATTCACCAAGGGCAAGTCATGCCTGACTAATCTAATTGCCTTCTATGACGAGATAACTGGCTCTGTGGATGAGGGGAAAGTGGTGGACGTGGTGTTCCTTGACTTTAGCAAAGCTTTTGCCACGGTCTCCCACAGTATTCTTGCCAGCAAGTTAAAGAAGTATGGGCTGGATGAATGGACTATAAGGTGGATAGAAAGTTGGCTAGATTGTCGGGCTCAACGGGTAGTGATCAATGGCTCCATGTCTAGTTGGCAGCCGGTATCAAGTGGAGTGCCCCAAGGGCTGGTCCTGGGGCCAGTTTTGTTCAATATGTTCATAAATGATCTGGAGGATGGTGTGGATTGAACCCTCAGCAAGTTTGCAGATGACACGAAACTGGGAGGAGAGGTAGATACGCTGGAGGGTAGGGATAGGATACAGAGGGACCTAGACAAATTGGAGGATTGGACCAAAAGAAATCTGATGAGGTTCAACAAGGACAAGTGCAGAATCCTGCACTTAGGACGGAAGAATCCCATGCACCGCTACAGACTAGGGACCGAATGGCTCGGCACCAGTTCTACAGAAAAGGATCTAGGGGTTACAGTGGACGAGAAGCTGGATATGAGTCAACAGTGTGCCATTGTTGCCAAGAAGGCCAATGGCATTTTGGGATGTATAGGTAGAGGCATTGCCAGCAGATCGAGGGACGTGTCATTCCCCTCTATTCGACATTGGTGAGGCCTCATCTGGAGTACTGTGTCTAGTTTTGGGTCCCACACTACAAGAAGGATGTGGAAAAATTGGAAAGCGTCCAGCGGAGAGCAACAAAAATGATTAGGGGACTGGAACACATGACTTATGAGGAGAGACTGAGGGAACTGGGATTGTTTAGTCTGCGGAAGAGAAGAATGAGGGGGGATTTGATAGCTGCTTTCAACTACCTGAAAGCAGGTTCCAAAGAGGATGGATCTAGACTGTTCTCAGTGGTAGCTGATGACAGAACAAGGAGTAATGGTCTCAAGTTGCAGCGCGGGAGGTTTAGGTTGGATATTAGGAAAAACTTTTTCACTAGGAGGGTGGTGAAACACTGGAATGTGTTACCTAGGGAGGTGGTGGAATCTCCTTCCTTAGATATTTTTAAGGTTAGGCTTGACAAAGCCCTGGCTGGGATGATTTAGTTGGGGATTGGTCCTGATTTGAGCACGGGTTTGGACTAGATGACCTCCTGAGGTCCCTTCCAACCCTGATAGTCTATGATTCTATGATCTCAAATAGGGCACATCCAAGCCTGAACCACTTATCAATGCTATCCCTCAGAAAATTTGCCAAATATATGTCCTTGGCTATGGTGTCTGTAAAAGCAGGCTACTTCAGCACATGTAACTCTCTTTCAATATGTTGTCTGTCCTCTTCCAGTGGCTGGTCAGGAGAGGATAACAGCCTTTTCATGCTTCCAGCTAAAGTCCTTTAGCTCAAGTGACAGTGCTGCAGTACTAAAATTTAGTAGTTGATTGATGTTTTGGGGGCTGAAAGGGTTAGGGGGAAGGTACGGTGTCATATAATCTGTTTACATTTTATAAAAAATTAGGATGTTGGCTCTATTAGTTTGCAGCAAGGCTTTTTTTTCAGTTATGATGTCATGTTTGCTTTTGCTTTTCAAATGAAAGAGAAGATGTGTAATAGTGCCACTGGGGACAGTGAGATGACCCCGCCACATGACAGGGTAATCCTGATCCATATCAGATGATTGGGAACAGGAAATTTAAAAAAAGAAATGTCTCTTTATAGCACTCCTGCGTGTCACATCAACACTAATTAAATCATTAACTTGCCTAACACTTTCCATATTTAAAAGATTCTTATCACCTTTTTCACAGAAGCTCTAATTTCTTCATTGCTTTCATGGGTTGCTACTAATTGTGTTCTCATTTTTTTTGTTGTTGTTGTTTTTTTTGGAGTGCCCAACTTCAGACATCTTGGACCTGATTTTTCAGAAGCAGTGAGCACTCATGACTGCAACTATAGCCAATGGAAATTGTAGATACACAATAACACGGATAGTAACAAGAGTGTGGTTTGGAAGAAAGTGCACAGAGTTGGGAGTCAATAAGCCTTCTGTCTAATCCTGGTTCTGTCACTGACTCAGGTATGGCCATAGGCAACTAATTTTGCATGTTTCCTCATCTATAAAATGCGAACTTAATTCTGACATTTCCTAACTTTTGAGAACTTGGCTTTGCAACCTTAACATTTTTATCATAGGTTTCAGAGTAGCAGCCGTGTTAGTCTGTATTCGCAAAAAGAAAAGGAGTACTTGTGGCACCTTAGAGACTAACAAATTTATTTGAGCATAAGCTTTTGTGAGCTACAGCTTACTTCTCTAAGGTGCCACAAGTACTCCTTTTCTTTTTATTTTTATCATAGTTTTCTGTATGTGATTTCATAGATTTTTTAAAAAGAAAACGGGGGAAAAAATTGAATCACGTGAAATAATATTGACACTGACGTGAGCCTTCAGCACAGTTGGAACCTTAACATCTATAGCACAGACCTCTGCCCCTTGAGCTAATGAAGTAACTAACAGCAGTAGTAGCAGCAGTAGGCTGTCATCCTCTTTGTCGACCAGAACTAGAGGGGGTTGAAGCACGCACGTTGTCAGTGAGTTTCACAGATATTTGCTGGGAATTTGCATACTACTTCAGAATTCCACACAATGCATCCACTTTAAGTCCAAAATAACTATCATTTATATGGCAAAATCATGTGCTCCGATAACTGGTTTTTTTAGGACTAGAGCAATGGGTCCTGTAGAAATGTAATTATGTATGTAAGTGTGTAATTAAAGATTGTATGATAATAGATTCACTAAGGGGGCTGAATTAAGGCTGCACAGAGGTTATGTTCATAGACTCATAGACTTTAAGGTCAGAAGTGATTGTCTAGTCTGACCTCCTGAACATTGCAGTCCACAGAACCTCACCCATTCCTGAAATAGATCCCTATGTGCCTTTAACTACAACTATCATTATGTGTGTTCTTGTTCATAACTATTTCTCTCTTGCTTCCCATCTGCATCAAACTTAGAACTAACTGAAATCAACAGGGAAAAAAATATTTTTCCAAACCCTCTCCTCTACTGTAATTTTTCATCTTGTATTAATGTTGTGATAAATTGTTGAAAACAGTTTTACTACCGGAGTCCAATGAATGCAAAGCAAACAACAAATACAAACCAAAATTAAGCCATTAGATTTGGCTCTTCTAAATAAGAAGTGTACGTAAAAAGATTTCCTACCAATGGTAGTACTTGAAACGAGGTCTCCAGTTTGGAGTGCATAAAAGAGTTTGCACTGCACAGGCCAAGTTCACAAACATATAGCACATTAGAAAAAACCTGCAAAGAAAGACAAATCTTTTAACTGGGAAATGAACTCTACAGTCTCACATACAAAATCTATCAAGAGAGTAGGGATAAATAAATATATTTACAGAAAGTTCAGATTAGTATCAGAACATGGGAATTACAAAGCCAGATCAGAATAGTGATTCTTCTAATATACTATCCAGTCTCTGATAGGTCAGTACCAGATGTTTCAGAAGAAGAAGCAATAAACACTTCAGTAGATAATCAAAGAATGAGCTATCAACATGGAAAGCTTCTTCCTATCTCCAATCAGCTAGAATTTTGCTTATATCTTGAAACACGAAACAGGGTTTATATCCCTCATAAAACTTTTATCAAAAATCTTTGCTATTGTAACTTAAGGCATCTTTTTGTTATTCATATAAAACTCTAATCCTTTTTAAAGTTTTACTAATCTCTTTGTAGAATGTTATACTGTAGTGACTAAGTTCCACAAGTGATATGTTTTGTTAAAAAGTATTTCTTTTTTTTTACTTTTAAATTTAGATCCTTTTAATTTCACTGACTGTCCCTTTGGCCTTGTATTTTAGAAAAGATTAATAAAAATGCCCAGTCTACATTCCCTGTTGCATTATTTCACACACTTTTAGCATGTCCCTTCTTATTTCCCTTCTCCTCTCTAAAACATAGACAAACACCAGATTAAAGCTGTGCCCATAAAGTGTTCAGATCAAATAATTAAGCATCCTTCTTAGACAATGATGAGTCATTTTTTTGTAACTGTTTACACATAATTCTTTTGGTTAAAGATATCACTGCAGATAGGAGAAAATTTAAAAAGAAAAATGCTACTGATGCACTTAAAGTTTTAGAAACAACAAGGAGTGCAGTGGCACTTTAAAGACTAACAGATTTATTTGGACATAAGTTTTCGTGGATAAGCATGCTGCATCTGAAGAAGTGAGTTTTTTACCCATGAAAGCTTTTGCCCAAACAAATCTGTCAGTCTTTAAGGTGCCACCAGACTCCTTGTTGTTTTTGTGGATACAGACTAACATGGCTACCCCCTGATACTTAAAGTTTTAAGGCAAGAGACAGTTTTGTATGCAATAGCTATGGTCACTGGTATATTGTAAGATTTAGTCTAGCTTACTGTCAATGTAAAACCACCCCACATTTTATTACATTTTATTCAAAGGTACTGGAATTACCTTTAAAATAGGAAAGTAATTTGACATTAGCAATATTTTAAAATATAAAAGTATGGAAAACAGCTGCTTATTGCAATACTGTGGGTAAATTACTAGAGAAACTAACCTGATTGAAAGAAATATGAAAGAGGTTTTCAGGATGAGTTATTGAGTTAAACATACGTTACATCACTATCTTCTAAGCCTATGATTTATTGTTTGAAGAGCTCTGTGTAGCTCAAAAGCTTGTCTCTTTCACCAACAGAAGTTGGTCCAATAAAAGATATTACCTCACTCACCTCTCTAATGTCCTGGGACTAGCACAGCTATAACACTAGAAAGATACATTATACCCTGTCAGGCACTCAGATACCACAATAATTAGGGTGATACAAGCACAATAGATGGATTGACAGCTCTTTTAACCATTTCCAATTGTCAGCATCATTTCTGAAGTGTGTACATCAAAACTGGACACAGTATACCAGTAAGGTCTCACTTATACCATATATAAAGGTAATACCACCTCTCTACATCTATACCATGTTTCCTTACTTACTTATCCAAGAAATAAAGAATACAAGCCATTCTTACTTGATGGGAGACTCTATCCTGAGAAACAGTGACTCTGAAAAAGATTTGGGGGTTGTGGTGGATAATCAGCTGAACTTGAGCTCCCAGTGTGACACTGTGGTCAAAAAGGGCTAATGTAGGCCAAAAGTCTAATGGGGAGAAATTGTCTCAAGTAAATTGTCCTCCATTTTGCTAGCTTTGAATTAGTAAGAAGAAATTGTTCTGAGTTTATTCTTTGCTGATTGTGCTAATGATTGTTCTTAGAAGGATAGAAGTTTTATGGCTGTAATTATTGCATTATATCCTGTTTGGTGTGTGAGTGAAGAATGTATGGTATACTGATTAACTGAGAAGAGACAGCTGGGCTGAATAGTCAAGAGGGGAGTGGAGGAGTCGAGAGGCACAAACTTTATTACCAGAATCACTGGGATGGATGACCCTAAGCAAAGGCATACACCCCAAGGACAAGATAAGAAGTTGAGCCAGAGGGACAAGATAAGAAACAGCTGTGGATCCTCCTAGTAACAACTCAAAATAACGCTAATTAAGAACAACCTTGAATACCTTGTGATTGACAGCTCCAGTGTGACACAGCAAGGTCCATAGGCTTGTATGGGAACTTATTACTATAAAAGAAGGGTGTATTGCCATGGGACTTATCCCATTTAAAAAGGTTCCATGTGCTTCTAAGTATAACACTAATGCTATCCTGGGATGCATAAACAGGGGAATCTTGAGCAGCAATAGAGAGGTTAATATTATCTCTGCATTTGGCATGTGACCACTGGCTGGAATATTGTGTCCAGTTCTGGTGTCCACAATTCAATGCAGATGTTGATAAATTGGAGAGGGTTCAGAGAAGAGCCAGGAGAATGATTAAAGGATTAGAAAACATGCCTTTAAGTGATAGTCTCAAGGAGTTCAATCTATTTAATTTAGCAAAGAGATGGTTAAGGGTTAACTTGATTACAATTTATAAGTACCCACATTATATGGGGAACAAATATTTAATAATGGACTCTTCAATCTAGCCAAGAAAAATATAACATGATCCAATGGCTGGAAGTTGAAGCTAAACAAATTTAGACTAGAAATAAGGTGTACACTTTTGACAGTGAGAGTAACAATTGGAACAACTCACCAAGGGTTGTGGTACATTCTCTATCACTGACAATTTTTAAATCTAGATTGAATGTTTATCTAAAAGATACTTGCTAGGAATTATTTTGGGACAGTTCTATGGTCTCTGCTGTCCAGGAGATTAGACTGGATGATCACAGTGATCCCTTCTGGCCTAGCAGTCTATGAAAGTATTGCATTTACTGTTACTGTATTTTACTATTACTATTGCTGTATCATATAGGGTTATCCACCATAACCTTTAAGTCCTTTTCAGAGTCACTGCTTGTCAAAACAGTCTTCTATTCTATAAATGTTACCTACATTCTTGGTTCCCAGATGTAAGATCTTTTATTTAGATGGACTAAAATAAATTTTGTTCAAGTGAGCCCACCTAGCCAATGTGACCCACCCTGCTCTGTAGAACTGACTTGTCCCCGGCATTATTTACCATTTCACCTATTTTCTGGCATCTGCAAACTTTACCATCAATGATTTTATATTTTCTTCCAAATCACTGGTAAAAATATTCAATAGCATTAAGACAAGAACAGATCCCGGTGGGATCTCACTAGAAATTCCCCCACTAGATGATAACTCCATAATCAGAATTAGTTTGTGTAATCTCTCATTTAGCTAGATTTGAGTCCATTTAATATGGTCTGTGTTGATTTCAGATAGTGTTAATTTTTTTATGGGAATGTCTACAGTACTAAGTCAAATAACATATAGAAGTCTATTTCAGTTAAGCATTGATTTAATTTAGCATTAGCCTAAGGCTTTTATCATATTTTGTCAGTCTAGATTCTCTTCAGGTTAACTGTGAGCTTTACTAACAATATGATCTGAAAAGTATTTCAAAGACAAGAAAAAGTCTTGATAACTAAGTTATTCAATTTCAACAATATATTAAGCTTTTAAAAAAATAATGTCAAGTTTCACATGCATACTTACATTGAAAGAATTGGTGCTACGCTATCCAGGGAAGCTATGAGAATTCCTATCTCACAAATACAAGCAGTGAGAAGTAATGCCCAGGTTGGTTCACCATTTGCTTTTCCATGACCAAATACCTAATTCAATTAAAATATACAGTAAAATGAGTAAATCTGTTCAATATATAGTTCTCAAAATATACTAAAGGGAAACCAACTTTAACAAAGCCCATCAAATTTAAACTGGTTAAAGCCATTTTTAAAGTTATTTGAAATGCACATGCATGAGCAGATTCTCTTATATATTAAATAAGAAAATTTACATGAGTTAAGACTTGACGTAGGAAAACTATTTTTTTTTATAATACAAAATTAAAATTTCAGGGATGGGGAAGAGAAACAACATGACATTTCTAATCACAGGCCTGTCTCTTGATACTGCATTAAAAAAAGAAAACAAGAAACAAAAGAAAGAGCATGGGAACCTACAGAGAACCCTACCATAAATCAGTAGAAGGAGCCCAGTTGCTGAGACATGGGATATGAGAGAGCTCATGGCCAGATCCACTCAGCTAATTTTACGCATAAAGTTGTTGGGGGTAGCAGGGACAAAGTCTTCTCTCAAGGTTCCAAAGAATACACACAGCAGTATATGTTCCCTTCTCCTCTCTCCACATCACCATAAGGATTGAAACCCCAATGTTTCCTCCACCTGTTCTCTTTCTAAACATCCAGTTTCTCCTCACTCTCATTCTCCATACCACAACCATCCCTCCCTTTTCCCTATAGAGACCCTTCAATCTTCCATCTCTTTCATTCAAACTCTCATTCTCTTTCTAGACCCTAATTTTTCTCAAACATCTCTTGCCGTATTTCAATGTCTCATGTTCCCTCACACCTTTGCACCACTGTGAATTCTTCATGCTCTCTTCCCTCTACCTCCAAACACTTCATCATCTCTAAACATCTCCCTTGAAACCCATCCCAATCTACAAATTATCTAATCCTCCTGCAGACAACTCTCATGTCCCTCCGTTTGCAGTCTCCTCTTTCCTCAAGACCATTCTCTCCTCCTGTGAAACCTCTGCAGTCATCCCACCCTTTGTTCCCTCATTGCCAAATATCCCCTTTCTATTTACTCCTCAAAATGATTACATTTCTCTCTTGCCCCCCCCCATCTGTCTCTTTGATTCACCTCTCACCTCTCCCTGTCCTGGCCCCTATTCTCTCTGTGTCCCCAGTATTCAGCTCCTTCCACCAAGTCCCTCCTTCCTTAGCTCCCTTCTCCTCACCCACAAGTTCCCCACACCTCTCTCCAACTCCCTTCTCTTCATACAACTTCTTCCCAGCCCCAGTCCCCTCCTCAGATTCCCCTAACTGAGCCTGTCCCACTCTAACAGGTTTCAGAGTAACAGCCGTGTTAGTCTGTATTCGCAAAAAGAAAAGGAGTACTTGTGGCACCTTAGAGACTAACCAATTTATTTGAGCATGAGCTTTTGTGAGCTACAGCAGTTTCCACAGTATGCATCCGATGAAGTGAGCTGTAGCTCACGAAAGCTCATGCTCAAATAAATTGGTTAGTCTCTAAGGTGCCACAAGTACTCCTTTTCTTTTTGTCCCACTCTAATTCCTCTCCCAAAGGTTGTTCCCCCACTCCTCCCATTACCGCCACCATCATACACTAGATGATGCCTCTCTAGAGCTCACACCAGCTCCTATCCCCTTGGACAAGTTATATAATGTGGGGAATTAGGAGGAGCTGCTGGTTGGCCCTGTCTCTGCTCAGCTCCCTGCCGGCCAACAGCAGCCGTTGCCAAGTCTCATGAGAAAAAAAGCAGCACTGACTTTCAGAACAAGCCCAGCCCATTCTATCCTTAAGAGATAGAAACCAAAACAATCAAGTATCTACCCACTGTTGAATATTTTTCTATGCCTCCTAACAATAGTCATTTTCCAGTCTTGTCCAAAAGAGTGAGAATTTGTCAGAATAAAAGGAAAATGACTGAGTTAACATTTTTGCTTCTGCTGCAGCCATGTTTTCATTTTAATTTTAATTTACTGGTTTTTTTAATAGTTTTTAATATTTATTTTGGCTGGACTAAGAGGCAGGGATGATGAACTATCTTGTGCTGCTATAGGGTTATTTGCTCATTCCACTGTAGTCAGTGACTAAAAGCTTGCATAGTGACTTATCCATAATTTGAAACTCTACAGTGCATACTGAATGTAGCATGTAAGGAGGGAAATGGGGGCAGAGCTTAATTTGTAATGCATGAGGTGCTGGAGAAGCCCTAGCACAATTTAAGCAATGGCTGGCCTGCTGGAGAATCGCAGCTGCTGGCCTTGCACCCAGATCTGAAGGCAGTCCCGCTGCCAGCAGCAGCGCAGAAGTAATATTGGCATGGTATAATGTATTGCCACTCTTACTTCTGCGCTGCTGCTGGCAGCAGCGAAGCTGCCTTCAGAGCTGGGTGTCTGGCCAGCAGCTGCCATTCTCTGCTATTCCTTAGCAGGCACCCACAGAGTGTTGTAACAGCTGTCACTTCTAGGTAGGCTTTTTCAGTTAATTCCAGGTATAGTGCCTTACAAAAGTCTTTGCATTGTCTTTCTGGATGGTGGCATTTTTCGTCCTTTGCTTTTATATGTAAGTGTAGGCACAAAGATGCACCCAGCAAGAGACCAAGCATATGCAGTACCTTAATAACTTGATTTATACCGCTTCATCAATGGGGAGGTTACTGTTTTTGCAAGCTCTTTAAGATGGTCTGGCTTTTCATGCATCACCCAATTTTGCCCAGGCACTAGAATACCTGGGAGACTGTACACTCTACACTTGCCAAACTATCCAATTCAGAGAAAAGCTACATAATCTTCATCTCAGTCACAACCAGGCCTTGAAGTTCAGAGCTAATGACAGAACAGCAGGGAAATAGCTGTTATAACTTTAATTTATATAATTTGCAGAATGAGTAAGAACTTAAATTGTTGCTCTCAACCTTTTCTATAAGTGACTCCAAAACAGTATCATGTAGTTCCCTGTCCACATCAAATTTACTCTATTTACAAATAAAAAGTGCCTGAACTGGAATCTGAAAGTTAAGTTGCTAGTTATTTTCTGGCTTGTGCATTTCCCCTCGTAAAAACTTCTGTGGGCCCAATTCTGCCTCAGTTTCATAGTGCACAACTTGATTGTTTGAAGAATAAAGACAATAAAACAGCACAGAGATACATAAGGGTAGAGTGTGCTCTGCAAATGCAACTTGATTTACTTTTTTAAAAAATGCAATTAAAATCTAGCTTCAGCTCAAGGTATGTCTATACTGCAATCCAAGGTGTGACTGCAGGTCAGGTAAACATACCTCCATTAGCTTTACCTGTGCTAGCATTGCTAAAAATAGCAGTGTAGTTGAGGTGACATGGAGTTCAGTGCAGGCTTTACAAGCCCATTCATAATCCTGAGAACCAACTCGCATTGCTGAAGCTTGCACCACCATATCTACGCTGCTATTTTTAGCAATGCTCGCACAAGTAAAGCTAGCATAGGTAGGTCTACCCTAGCTGCAATTATACCTTGGATTGCAGAATAGACATACCATCACACTTTCATGGCTCTGCAGTGGTAACAGGAATAAAAATAATTAAAATATATTTTAGTCAACAATATAAATGCAATTTAAATGTAAATGCATTTAAAACACTGAAAAAAGTAGCTCACTTGAAGAAATGGTATTATGCCATCTCTTGCAATAGCCTGCAACAGCCGGGGTGCACCAGTAAGACTCTGTAGACCAGCACCACATGTAGAGAAGAATGAACCAATTACAATTACCCATGGAGAAGGCCACGCCAACGTACCAATCACTAGGTTTCCATTAACTGCTTCTCCAAACCTTGGGGGAAAGATCAAATAAATTAATGAGAAAGAGCAGTGGATGCTAAAGTGATAATTCTTCTCTTATAGCTCAATATACACATTTCTAAGTCTGTTTTAGCACTTAATAAATGATACTCCACAAATTAATCAGGTTGTGTTTGGGTTTACCCAACCGATTTATCCTCTTTCTTATACTATTAAAGAATGGAGCAGCTAAATTTTACAACACAACTGTGATTTAATAATCATTATTACTACATGTGTCTTTACAAGACATGACTTCCATATTATCTGGGCGCACTACATTGTTTATACCAGTAGCAAGATATTTACTCATATGCTCTGTATCGTGTGTAGTATTGAACTAATTACCATGTAATGAGAATAACAGCCATGATACTAGAAGCCAGATTTTCAAAAGCCTGTGCTGTTGAAAACCCTGTCGTGCAGATATATACAGAGACACAAATAGGAGATACATATGAATATTGTTTTCAAAATAAATGGTTGATCATACACAGTGCATGAGTATCAAATGATGTATGAGAAAATTCAGTGGGTGAGGTAGTGTCATAACCTGGTTATAGATGTGAACTGCCTATTTTTAACATTGTTTAGATATGCTTAAGACACTTGGGCATGTGCAAGCATGGAGGCAGCCTGCAAGCTGTCCTCCACTAACAGTTGTTAGATTAGCTGTTCCGGTTAAAGAAAAATAGCAGATAGGAGAGGGTTATTGTGATGGGAGGTGGGAGGGAGTGCTAAGGAAAAAGTGGTAATGTTATGATGGTTTTCTCTGAAGTACAGGCAGAGGGAGTAAAGACAGATAACTTGAGGGGGTGGCAACTAGAATTAGCCAGTCAACTATATACATATGCCTTTAGCCTGACATGCTGCTTGAGTCTCTGCAATTTTTGAAAGATGTCTATCAGGAGAATGAGCAAAGAAAATCAGCACTAGGAGCCAGGTGCTTTCATAACATAGTAGCTGATGTCAAATCTAGTTCCAATAGTTTCTTGAGATAATTGATATTGTCTTGCCTATGGATCCATGCATGAGTCCACAGGGGGTTCAATTAAGGTGAGAGAGCTTAGGAGAGTCTTAAGAAATGTGAGATGTCATCCAGTTTTTTAAAAAGTGGTATGCATTAACTTATTTTTAAAAAATTTGAAGGTCACTTTTAATGTTTGAAGATTATTAGTAAAAATTCATTTAGTAAAAATGCATTGTATCTAGCCTATTATTTTTCATTTATTTTCAGGCTTGCCAGAGCAGTTGGCAGAGAAAAGAAAAAAGGTAAAGCTAAGACCACCTTATTTCTTCTCAGGCCTGCAAGGGCCAGGAACAGCAGAGACAGAGCAAGAAGCCTTATGCATTGAAGTCAGTTTTCAAAATCTTTGAATTGTGCATGCCCAGACACTGGGATACGCGCGTCAGTCCTCATTTTGAAGCTACATATGCACACAGCTTTGAAAAAAAGTCACCTCTGGATGTGCAGAAAAAGGCACACCACATGGTGCCAGTGCATACATACAACTGAGTCCCTGAAAATTCTCTGCTACATGCCCAGGAACTGCAGCAGGATGCTGCCCAAGATCCATGAGAGGCTGCCATGGGAGGCAAGCCACCCCAGTAAATTGAACTCTAGAGGCCATTCCACAAACTGAAGGGACGGTGGTAGAAAGTAGCCCAGGACAGTGGCTTTAGACTCCCTACTTGCAGTGCCCCTGTTCAGGAGTCAACTCACACAGGGTCAGTGGATTGGGAGGGCCCAATTCCTCCTACCCTCACTGCCTGAAGGACTGACACACCTTGACCAGGGAAACAAAGGGCTGGAAGTCAGATACAAAACACTAGGCCACGTGGCCCTCCAAGCAATCTGTTACAACTCTATAAAGGTAAGGAGGACTTATGGCACCTTTGAGACTAACAAATTTATTTGAGCATAAGCTTTCGTGAGAAGTGAGCTGTAGCTCACGAAAGCTTATGCTCAAATAAATTGGTTAGTCTCTAAGGTGCCACAAGTACTCCTTTTCTTTTTGCGGATACAGGCTAACGCAGCTGCTACTCTGAAACCTGTCTATAAAGGTACTAATTATAATCGAATTTCAGCAAGACAGGAACTGGCAGCCAGTGCACAGCACAGAACACAGGTGCAGTATGGTCCCAATAACATGCGCTACTCAAAAGGTGAGCTTCTGTGTTCTGCATTAGCTAATACACTTTGTGATTTTCAGGTGGATCTCCCAGGTAGTGTATTCAGAAACATAAGCATGCATAATTAAGGCTAGGTGTGTACTTAGCATATTTTCATTATTTTTCTTCTTCAACTTTGACTTGTCTGTTTTTATTAAAAGAATAGTATAAATTAGGAAATTTAGCAAAGTTAACTGTCGCATAAACGCACACCATCTAAATTAAATTTCCAAAATAAAACCTATTCAAACATATTTTCATTCCAATAATCAAAATTTATGAGCATACATAAAACATGTACACTTTATAAAGATGGAAATTAAATATACATACTTATCTCTTAATATCACACCTTCTATACATGCACCAAACAATACAATGCAGGATAGATCTATTATTGAGAATGAAGGAAGATAAAAACAGATTATACTGTAGTATAATTTGGAGAAGAATCAAACTCCACTTTACCTAAGAATCTGTAAAAAATTTCAGAACATTACTTTTTTTGTCTTCTTCCAGCTTTCTCACAAAAATAAGATTAATCAAGGATTAGCTGACTTTTGCCAATATTTCTTTATGATGTGCTGTATTTATTCTATACTTTACCCCACTGTAGTGCTGAAAATAACCAACTTCATAGATTAGGTTAGATTAGATTAGATTACATCATTTATGGGTACACACTCAACCATAGGGATAAATATTTTCTCATATTTTAAGTAACTTCAAGTGATACAAAATTTGGCATTTCATAAAAGAAGACTCTGGGATTCCTAATTTTGTAATGCTGTATAGCATTAGTTTCTTTCTCTGGCAGTTCATACACTATCACATTTTCAAATGGCCACACTGATCAGGCCAAAATAAAGGTAATTTACTGGGTAGACCAGGGTGGTTTCAGGATCCTGCATTATCCACCACAATAGCATCAATTTTAATTTGGAATTTGGGAAATCAATAGAAAATATTTAGAATTTCTTTCAGTTTAGGTTCTGTTTTGCTCCTGCTAAGTTTTAAACTCAGCAAACTTGAATGACTCCCCAGTGAAATTTCAAAGGAAAATCCTAAGGCATGTACACTTCCACCTTAATAGTGTGCACTGGAAGAAAGAAAATAATTAAAACACATCACAAAGGATACAGATAAAGGATGTAGTTGAAATAGCCAAAATTGTTCCAGTAGGAATAGATTTCTGAGCATCCCTAAGGTCTCCAGATCTGTTTGATCCTGCCATAATACCTAAAAAAAAAAAAGAATAAAACCAAATTTTATACCATAAAAGCAATGAATAGTGATTACTTTATGAAAAAGAGTTTAAATACAATATTTATGTTTAGCAACAATCCAAAAACTAATATAACTAAGGAAACATTTGGCATTCCATTATGTGGACTACAGAACATTTGTTCAGTTTAAACTTGCCTTGCTTGAGAAATTTGAACTGTCACACAAATTGTACAGAAGGAAATATCAGGGGGTTCAGAAAAAGTGTGATAAAAACTAGTCTTCTGAAGTTGAAACACAAATTAGGGATTACATAATAAAATGGAGTAGTGGTTGGGGCAAGAAAACTGTTCAGAAGGTCTATGAGCTAATGGGACTTGAGCAGTTTTACACCTTGTACCTATATGCCCTAAAATCCTGGTTAATAGACTGAAAGCCCTGAGATGTGTTCACAGACAGTAAACTGGCTCATGAATACATAGACAGATGCCTTGGGCTGATAGGAAACATAAGAGGGATGAGGCAAGCAGAATCACCCATTCAGGGGTGAGAACCTACTGCAGCAGGATACCATCCCAGAGGGATCTCAGAGGAGTGGGGAGAAGTGGCATCATCTCTGTCATACACTGGTTTATCTCCCCTGGAATTACCCAGTCTGTACACTGAGCGGGGTGGAGGGGGGGCCCTGCTTGAACTTCAAAAGTAGAGAGTTACTCTATTGTTCAGCCTCTGGAGGGGGAGAAATTACACAGCCAGTTCAACTGGGGTGTACAACGTACATGCTGCTGACTTCACTCCTCAGGCACCAGTACATATTATTATTTATTATTTGTATTATCATAACCTAGGAAACCTAAGTCACAGACAAGGATCCACTGGACTAGGTGCTGTATAAACAGAACAAAAAGACAAGTACATATACTGTGCTGTACCTTATGGGTACAGAAACACCAGATCCCCAGTGGGGATGAAAGTTACTGGGCAGATATTCCAGGGATGGAGGAACACAGCACACTGCCCATATCCTAGTCAAACCACATGAGATAAAACCACACTAGAACCTGGGAGGCAGCTAGATATGGATAAAATGCCAAGGGTAAAACCATTTTCCCCACCTCTATCCGAAATCTCTGTAAAGACCCAAGAGAGTTTGGGGATGCTAGCAGTGGGAATGTTAGACAACATTCTTTCTGATATTTTACTGGGAAATATTTTAGGAAGTATCCCCTTCTGTTACCTAAGAAAGCTCACAACAGTCAGGTGATCCGTCAAAATGCAAATGACTGAGTTAGGAATGGGGGCAGGGGAAACCCTGCCCAATTCCCCTCAAGGTGTTTCAACTAGGGGCACAGCTCTTCTTGACCTGCTGCTCACAAACCGGGAAGAATTAGTAGGGGAAGCAAAAGTGGATGGGAACCTGGGAGGCAGTGACCATGAGATGGTCGAGTTCAGGATCCTGACACAAGGAAGAAAGGAGAGCAGCAGAATACGGACCCTGGGCTTCAGAAAAGCAGACTTTGACTCCCTCAGGGAACTGATAGGCAGGATCCCCTAGGAGAATAACATGAGGGGGAAAGGAGTCGAGGAGAGCTGGCTGTATTTTAAAGAATCCTTACTGAGGTTGCAGGAACAAACCATCCTGATGTATAGAAAAAATAGTAAATATGGCAGGTGACCAGCTTGGCTTAACAGTGAAATCCTTGCTGATCTTAAACACAAAAAAGAAGCTTCCAAGAAGTGGAAGATTGCACAAATGACCATGGAGGAGTATAAAATTATTGCTCAGGCATGCAGGAGTGAAATCAGGAAGGCAAAATCACACCTGGAGTTGCAGCTAGCAAGGGATGTTAAGAGTAACAAGAAGGCTTTCTACAGGTATGTTAGCAACAAGAAGGTGGTCAAGGAAAGTGTGGGCCCCTTACTGAATGAGGGAGGCAACCTAGTGACAGAGGATGTGGAAAAAGCTAATGTACTTAATGCTTTTTTGCCTCTGTCTTCATGAACAACGTCAGCTCCCAGACAACTGAACTGGGCAGCACAGTATGGGGAGGAGGTGACCAGACCTCTGTGGAGAAAAAAGTAGTTCAGGACTATTTAGAAAAGCTGGACGTGCACAAGTCCATGGGGCCGGATGCACTCCATCCTACAGTGCTAGAGGAGTTGGCTGATGTGATTGCAGAGCCATTGGCCATTATCTTTGAAAACTCATGCCGATTGGGGGAGGTCCTGGATAATTGGAAAAAGGCCAAGGTAGTACCCATCTTTAAAAAAGGGAAGAAGGAGGATCTGGGGAACTATAGGCCTGTCAGCCTCACCTCAGTCCATGGAAAAATTATGGAGCAGGTCCTCAAGGAATCAATTTTGAAGCACTTAGAGGAGAGGAAAGTGATCAGGAACAGTCAGCATGGATTCACCAAGGGCAAGTCATGCCTGACTAATCTAATTGCCTTCTATGACGAGGTAACTGGCTCTGTGGATGAGGGGAAAACGGTGGACGTGGTGTTCCTTGACTTTAGCAAAGCTTTTGATATGGTCTCCCACGTAGTCTTGCCAGCAAGTTAAAGAAGTATGGGCTGGATGAATGGACTATAAGGTAGATAGAAAGCTGGCTAGATCGTTGAGCTCAACGGGTGGTGATCAATGGCTCCATGTCTAATTGGCAGCTGGTTTCAAGCTTAGTGCCCCAAGGGCCGATCCTGGGGCCGGTTTTGTTCAATATCTTCATTAATGATCTGGAGGATGGAGTGGATTGCACCCTCAGCAAGTTGGAAGATGACCCTAAACTGGGAGGAGAGGTAGATACGCTGGAGGGTAGGGATAGGATACAGAGGGACCTAGAGAAATTAGAGGATTGGGCTAAAAGAAATCTGATGAGGTTCAATAAGGACAAGTGCAGAGTCCTGCACTTAGGATGGAAGAATCCCATGCACTGCTACAGACTAGGGACCAAGTGGCTAGGCAGCAGTTCTGAAGAAAAGGATTTAGGGATTACAGTGGACAAGAAGCTGGATATGAGTCAACAGTGTACCCTTGTTGCCAAGGAGGCTTATGGCATTTTGGGCTGTATAAGTAGGAGCACTGCCAGCAGATCGAGGGACATGATCATTCCCATCTATTGGGCATTGGTGAGGCCTGTCCAGTTTTGGGCCCCACACTACAAGAAGGATGTGGAAAAATTGGAAAGCGTCCAGCAGAGGGCAACAAAAATGATTAGGGCGCTGGAGCACATGACTTATGAGGAGAGGCTGAGGGAACTGGGATTATTTAGTCTGCGTAAGAGAAGACTGAGAGGGGATTTGATAGCTGCTTTCAACTACCTGAAAGGGGGTTCCGAAGAGGATGGATCTAGACTGTTCTCAGTGGTAGCAGATGACAGAATGAGGAGTAATGGTCTCAAGTTGCAGTGGGGAGGTTTAGGTTGGATATTAGGAAAAACTTTTTCACTAGGAGGGTGGTGAAGCACTGGAATGTGTTACCTAGGGAGGTGGTGAAATCTCCTTCCTTAGAGTTTTTTAAGGTCAGGCTTGACAAAGCCCTGGCTGGGATGATTTACTTGTGGATTGGTCCTGCTTTGAGCAGGGGGTTGGACTTCGCTAGATGACCTCCTGAGGTCCCTTCCAACTCTGATATTCTATGATTCTATGAATCAAACTAGCTCCATATAAATCTATCAAGACCAGGAAGGGGATGGTTGCGAGACTAGCTGCACTTCTGTGACAGTAAGCCTCTAGATGTCTTCACCTTCTTCCAGTTGAAAAGAGAACCTTGAAAATGTAAACTGATAAAAAGATGTCAGCCTAAGTTTGCAGAAAACCTGGAACAGTAGCTCAGATGGGTAAACTGCCCCATTCACTTCAAGAAAGAGAAAATTATATTATGAAGATATGCACAATCTTTGAGTTAGCACTTCTTTTGCTTAGGCCTTTAGCAATGCATGAAGCCCTGGGAAGAGACAATTGGTTTCATTTTCTTGAAGGGAACTCAGCTTTCAAAAAATTAGGAAATGCTCCTTTAAATGGTTTCTGCCTCAGACTGTAGTCCACTGAAATAACAAGGTAGACTGTGCCTCCCCTGTACTCTGACATTATAATTAAATAACTTAGCCATAATACTTTTTAACCAAAATTGGGGAAGTGCAGTGCCAACAATAAAATGACAATTAACAACAGCAATATCTCTTCATGCAAAACCACTGTATTTACCTGTCACAGATGGGAAATAAATCCCTACTAGCATTGTGAAGTAGGTCATAATGTCTGTAAAAACATATGGGAGTCCTCCAACTTTTGTCTCTTCTGTTCCAGTAACTGATGGCTGACCCTTTTTTTCAACAATTGATCCTTTGTCTGTATAGGCACTCCACAGGTTATCTGTAAGGAAATAAGTGAGAGCTGTACAAACACCTAATAAATGAGAGCTATCCAAACAAAAGTGACCTAAAAATAAGATCAACCTAGCTCCATCACTCACAGCTGTGAAAAATTCCATGTCTTATGTGGTGTAATTAGGTTGATCTAACCTTCATGGTAGAGACAGCTAGGTTGATAGAAGAATTCTTCCATCGACCTAGCTACTGGTTCTCAAAGAGATGGATTGATTACTTTGACAGAAAACCCCCTTTCGTTGACACAGGAAGAATCAACAGTATGATGCTACAGGACAGTAGCTCTCTTTCTGTAGTGTAGACATACTACAATTTTTATCTCATTTATTTTTATATAACAACAAAGCATACAACATTACTTGTAATTTAAACAAAGATCTACTCTTATGAATTGGGTGACCTCGCTGGGTATAAAACTCTTGGCATTTTGGGAACATTTCTTAAAACACTAGGAAAAAGGCAATAGTAACCCTATGGTATCTTCTATCAGCTTTTTTTTTTTTTTTTTTTGACAGGTGGACACTCTCCATACTATGAGTGCCAGCTAATTTTTGTGGCTGTTACACCTGGGCAGACATTTGGCTGCTTTGAAAAATACTTGGGGATGATCAGTATCAAAGGCTATGCATAATATACAATCAGTGGGGTGCACTGCTTTTTTCCTTCTCCCTGCATTTTTATTTTTATCTCTATTTATCTATCTATAAATAAATTTTATTGGATAACTCTGAAAGGAGCAATTTTTGGAATACATTTCACAATGGATGTAGAACACCAATGTTATATATATATATGATTAACTCATGTAACAGTTTCTTGCAATATTTGCTTGAAGAAATAAAAATATTTTATTTTACAGTCACTAAAACTTTGAAGTTTTTTATTTAATTTGATTAGATTTGTATTCATTACCTAAAAGCATGTTTTCCTATTTGTGAGTTTTTACTATATTCTTCCTCAAAAAAAGGAGAAAAGCATGAAGCCCTATTTTTATCTCTATCTAGAGAACAGTTTCATTTATTTACTGTATAAAAATATGTTTTCCTATACTACACAAAAAGGAAAATGCAAAGCCTTTGGAACTCTACATATCTTTCTAAATGACCAATCTGTGATTTATGGACATCCAATCCCAAAGATTAGCTGATGCTTGTAATATGGGAGTGGCTACCCATCAGAAAAGTACATAATGATGGAAGGCCTCATGGCATAGAGCCAAAGTACAATATTTTTTTTTTTTTTTGAAGTTAAGGAAAACAACCTTATGGACATAGTATGCTAACCTGAACCATTAGAAAATTTTTATTTCAAAATGAAATTATATTAGTCTGTACCAAAATAAAAGCTGCTTTAAACTTTTCTGAGCATATTGTAAAATGTTACCAGAATAAATATAATTTTAAATATATGCATTCAGAAAACTAGCAGATATTCATATGATGTACTACAAAACACAAATAAAAAGCCTAACACATTTCTCACAAGAAAAATTACAGCCACAAAGAAAACATTTTAAGGAAGTTCAGAGTGATGGAATATAAGGGTTTGGAATTGAAGAATGATCATTGTAAGTGCATATACATTTTATATTGGATCCTTCTTGAAATCTTTTACTGAATTTTGACAGAAGTAGTAAGTTGCTGGAGTCCCCACCGACTTAAAAAAAATTACGTACTTGTAGAATCAAGAATTAATGCTTCCTTGGGAATTGTTCATTAAACAATTTCAAAACCCACACTACCTGAACCCCAAATCATATGCTTTCCCCCTGGCTTGGCAGCTCTTAAAGGTTCCTTCCTTCAGGACTTCTCTTTTCCAGAACCTAGAAACAATCTCTGCTGGAAGCCTACTGTCACCCCTCTTACATACAGATGGAGTCTAAAGATCCAGTAGAACAGCAGAAATTAGCCTGCAGGGTTCCCACAACTGCTAACAGAATGGGACAACAGGAGCTTCCTGACATTCTGTTAGAAGTCTATTGAACTAAATGTGTGACCGGAAGCTAGAAACTGCTGAGTTTTCATCCCAGTTCTGCCACTGACTTGCCATGTGACCTTGGACAAGTCACAAACTCTATATTTTACTGTTTCCAACCATTACCCCTACCATATAGTAGGGTTTTGAGAATTAATGAACGTACAGCATATTGAAGGTGTAAAGCACTAAGTGTACAAAAATGCTAACTATTATAATTACATTGCATTTTAATTGGTATTTTTAACTTTTTCTAAGGTGCCACAAGTACTCCTTTTCTTTTTGCGAATACAGACTAACACGGCTGTTCCTCTGAAACCTGTCTTTAACTTTTTTGTTATTTGATACAATAGTTACCCTTAAACAAGTGTCCACGTACCATAAAATGAAGTATTTCTAAGAACCAAACAGTGCTGAAATACAGTGATAGGAGGGAGCAGTCTACAGATACATGAGTTACAGAAACAATGATAGACATCTTACGCCCTGCACGTTAGAACTGTTATGGCCTACACTAATACCATACAAAAAATTTAAAAGTTTAACTGCACATTGACTTTAAGGCCAGAAGGGACCACCATGATCACCTAGTCTGACCTCCTGCACATTACAGGCCATAGAACCTCGCCCACCCACTCCTGTAATAGACCAATAACCTCAACCTCTCGCTGAATTACTCAAGTCCTCAAATCATGATTTAAAGATTTCCAGTTACAGAAATTCACCCTAGTTTAACCTGCAAGTGACCCATGTCCCATGCTGCAGAGGAAGGCAAAGGACCCAAAGGACTCTGCCAAGCCGACCCAGAGGAAAATTCCTTCCTGATACTAAATATGGTGATCGGTTAGACCCTGAGCATCTGGGCAAAACCAGCACCCAGACACCTGGGAAACAATTCTCTGTAGTAACTTAGAGCCTTCCCTGTCTAGTGTCCCATAGCTGGCTCTGTTTTCAGACTTACCAATTAGAACTCCACTAGCAATTCCAGGAATCCCTTGAATTTCTGTCACGTTATTTAGGTTAAAGTATTCATCACATGTGGCATTAAGTGAGGGACTATCACAGAAGAGACTCCACAGCTTCGTTGTCACTGTTTCATTGTTTACCTCAATAGATTTGGCACAAATATCAACGTTGTGTCTTGACAATGTACGGTTTCCAAGAAGACAAATACTAGATGTGAAAGAAATAAAATAAGGGTAGAATTGGTTCTCTGTAGTGAATTTGTTCTCATTTAACTTAATCTATAGTCTATTCTCTAGCAAATTCTTCATTTACCATATCACACATTATACACATTATAACATTATTAATCAATGGCAAAAACTATGTTAATGCAGAATTGTAAAGTTGCTCAGTGGTATGTTGCCCCCTTGCAGAATGCTGAATGGAGCAAAACTCAGACTTTTGCTGAATATATGAGATCTTCACCTCCTTTTCCAGCCCAGTCACTTTCACCAACAGGATTCCACCTAACACTATTAAAAGGGGGAGATAAAGTTGCTCTTACCACCTTCTCTGTACCCTTTTTGAGAAATGTCTTAATATTGACATAACACATACTCACGCTGGTCCTTAGCAGTCTAAGACTCAGGAGGTTCCAAATGCTGGTGCACACTCAAGCACTTAGCCAACTCCCCAGAAAAAAATATCACACACATACAATTTAAGGATCACTTCACAAGCCTTTTACAGCCTCCTCACACATACTCAGAGGGTACCATCTCAACCTACACGTTCACTTAACCATCATGAAAGTATAAGAATCCTTTTGTATTCCACCTCACTGTTGACAATATCCTTTGCAAGCCCTATGCCCTGCTATTGATGTAACCAATACAATTCTGCACAGAAATGATGCATCCTGGAGGTACACATGAACGTCTTCCCTTTCCTCATATGCATAATAGGGTACAAAACATAGATCTTCACATATCACAAATCACAGCTACTGTCACACAGATCTGACACTACTGCCTCCACCATTCAGTATAGCTGACACCAACCACACGCACTTTACCTGGAGTGCATGCAGATAATAAACGCTTAAGACTGCTCTTATGTCCCAGCTTGCTACTGAATATACCCTTTCCAATAAAACTCCTGTGCCCTACTAATTATGTGGAATACACAATTCTACACTGAAACAATGCACACTGGATCCTACATGGGAAACCTTAATTCTTCATTTCCTGTTTTTCAGAAGTTTGAATTATGCTCAACTCCGTGTTCTGCAAGGGGACAACATATCACCAATAGCCTTAACTCTGCATTATTGTCTTTTTTGCCATTGAATTTCCTCATTATTGACTGGGAAAAGATGTGCTGCTGGTAGTAGCTAGTAGTTATTTAGGCTGTTGTACATATCATGTCCCACAATTTGCATACCAAACCAAAACAGCCTGTGGTCAGCAATGCCCATGTCATGGTATACTCTTTGCTCTCCCCCAAACTTCTGCAACCTTGTGATCCAGGAATCACCCAGAATCCACACACTGGCAATCCTGGCCGTGCACATATTTCTTTTCCCTCAGCCATCAAACCTCTGCACTACATGTCTTTGAAAACACCACAATGATCTGCCCCAACACCAGAAGTAGCCACTTGCCATCCCACCCCTACACACTCTAAAAAAGGGCTAGTAAAATACAGATTTTCTGAAACTACCAATCTAAGACTTGTCTATAATCCATCCCCATTGCCCAATCCCTCCGCAGCTGCAACCCCTCTCCCTGTCTCCCCACCCAACCACACACACAAATACCTCTGTCTGCAGCTCCTCCCCACACAATATAAAAACATTTTGGTAAGACCAAGACTGTTCTGCTGTGTTCACAGTACACTCCCCATAATATAAAAAATATAACAGATACAACTTGTAGCAAGCAGCATGAGTTATTAATTTTTTACTGTACAGGTTCAAAAGAGAAAATGCAGTGCAGGTGTTCACTAGGGACAATGGTATTGGCACATTCCCTCAAACTACCCAGGACAGTATATAATGCCAATATAGAAACCCTCTAATTTTTTCCCTTCATTGGTGCATGCACACTGTAATCCTTACATGTGACTCTTTGCTTGGGACACCCAGAACCCTGAGCCAGTGTGTTACCGCTCTGCCTCAGCAAGGGTGAACTTGTGCTACTAAGCTAAGAGTGAGGCCGCTGACACACCAGCTTATCTGTCTTGTTAGCAAACTCCTCAGGACTCTGCCAGTCCAAACCTTGCCTTAGAGATAACAGTGAATCCCAATTCCTGAATTTCCCAGAGACATCTTTCTGCAATGTCTAGTCCCTCTTACTGGACCCTCAGAGAAGTTATCAAGTTTGCTGTCTCCAAAGAGACAGAACATTCATCAACCTGGTATTGGACTGAGGATTTTATTCTTCAGTCAAATGCACAGCACTAAGATGGTCTTGTAATGAAACAAGAATAAGTTTATTAACAAAGATCATATATTTAAGTGATAATTGGTATGAACGGAAGACACAGTTATGTTTACAAGTGAAAAAACAAAACACGCTTTCCAATGACAAACTTAACCTCAGCAAGTTACAATCTTTGTCTAGGTTTCTCACATATTTCCCAAAGACTTCAACCTTCTTTGCTGAAACATCCAAGTTTCTCAGAATACAAGAGCTATGGCCCTGGTATCCATCTAGTGATGCATAACATAATGGTTTTTTGCCTCTGCTTGTATCTTCCCAAAACTCACTGACCCTGTTTCAAGAGGCAGGAAAATTTCCTGGGGATACACAGTCTCCATCCCCTATCAAGATTATTAAAGGGTCATCACCCCTCCCTTGTTCCCCTGATGACTTTGTTTACCTCATTTGTAAATGTGTTTTTCACTGTCTTTGGTCTCATCTTGCTTAATTTACATTGGAGACACAGTCAAATCTTTGAAACAATGTTCCTTTGTCTAGGACAGGTGGGCTTAAGCAATGCCTCTCAAAACACATTTTAGGAAAGAATTTCCAGCACACACCTATAACTATTTATACATCACCTATATATACATCACACAATATTAATGACCAGTGTGTTATCATTTTACATATGATACCTTACACAACACCTTTTAGATACAGATTATGACAACAGTGAGTTGGTGCAATGTGTGTGTCAGGCCTGATGAGAGTTATAATATGTTGTGGCTTTTCTAATTGGCACTGCAAGGCTCCCAGGGTCACATTCCAGACTGCACATCTACACAACAGTGATGTAGCTAGGAGTGGAAATTTGGGTGGGTCCACAGTTTACTGTGGACAGCAATGATCACAGTGCTGAGCTCATTTTAATAAAGATTTCACTGTCCAGTCGGTAGCACGGGCAGCCCATCTATTCCTTGCTCCAGTCAGCAGCAAAATGAAGCCCACCAGCACATCAGCAGTCACACTCCCCAGGCAGTGGGCACTGGTGCTCACTCAGACTACTTTAGAGCTGGATCCAGCTCAGATGGTGCTGCCTTTGTGGGCAGCTCCGCTCAGACTCACTGCCGTATTGCGGGGTCCACCCACAGTGTGATGATGGGATTCAGTGCAGCCCCAAACCCCTCTTCTCTCTCCTCCCCTCCCTTTTCCTCTCCTCTGCCCCCAATTACCTTTCCCCTCCTAGGAAGCATTCACATGGCTAATTTTTTCCTTCAAACACTTAGGCCCCCTAAAGGAGCTTGGGATGAAGGGCTACAGTGCACTGGCAAAACTGGGAGGAGCAGGAAGGTTGGAATGCAGCGGCTTGGGATGCACTAGCAGAGCAGGGGTTGCAGTGGGTTGGGTTGCAGTGCACTAGCAGAGCTGGGTGTGCAGGGTGGTTGGGGTGCCCTGGCAGAGGTGTGGGTGCAAACAGGTTGGGGTGCACTAACAGCTGGGAGCACAGGGGGTTGGGGTGAACTTGCAGAGGTGAGTGTGCAGGTAGGGGTGATATTACAGGGGGTTGAGGTACAGAGGTGGGATGCTCTGGCAGAGCTGAGGGTGCAGGGGTTTGGGGTGCACTGGCCAAGCTGCAGGATTCCACACTTCCCTCACCTGAGCCCTCAACCTCTCTCCCTTCCCTAACCACTAATCCCTATTTATCCTCCTTTCCATAACCGCCCTCCCCTTGCTGCACCACCAAACACCTCTCATCCTATTCCTCCATCCCCTCCCTTTTCCTCCCCTCCCAGGAAGCATTCAGTTGTCTAATTTTCCACCCAGAAGACTTTGATTACATTCCCTCCAAACTAGAATTGAAACCGATGACTTGCAATCTGCAGCAACCTCCAGTCACTCAAAACTCCTTTTGTCTTTCTTAGATGGGGCTTGCAATTAATTTATCCTTAGATATGTGAATGGCAGGGTGAGTTCACAGCCATCAAGAGATCTGTGATTCCTCCAGCCATCAGTATCTCTCCTTTTAATAGTAAAAATGGCAGAAGGAAACTGAGGGGTTTTTTTGGAGGGGTGGAGGACTAACTCAGGAACCCCTTAAAATTTAGATCATTAAAGCTACCCTACAGACCATGAGGCAAAGTTCAAAACAATCCGATTAATCATTTGAATTTTAGAGCACTTACAAGAATCAAGCCTAAAAAAAAATGGTGGGATTAGAAACTCTCTGACTATTTGTCTGTATTGACACATGCACCATTTAAAAAAATGAACTTTTTCTTAAATACTGTTCTGAATTTGGGTCCACCAAAAGATTTAGTGAGTGTCATGCACTACCCTGGGTAAAACTTGATAGACTGGGACCATTTTGACCCATAGCTCATCAGTGGTTTGATCTTTAAGGGCCTGTCTACATTACCCGCTGGATTGACGGGCAGTGATAGATCCAGCGGGGGTCGATTTATCGCGTCTAGTCTAGACACGATATATCGACCGCTGAGCGCTCTCCCATCAACTCCGGTACTCCACCGGAGCAAGAGGCACAGGTGGAGTCGAGAGGGGAGCGTCAGCAGTCGACTCACCGCAGTGAAGACACCACGGAGAGTATATCTAAGTACGTTGATTTCAGCTACGTTATTCACGTAGCTGAAGTTGTGTAACGTAGATCGATCCCTCCCCCTAGTGTAGACCAGGCATACGTCTGGGTAAAAGTAAATAAATAAATAAAGACTCCAAATTTGGTTCACTTACCCTACCCTGAAGCTTTCTGTGAGCTTGTCTGCACTTGAAACTCTGTGCTGCTGTAGCTCTTCAGTGTAAACACTATCTATTCTAACAGGAGAGGTTCTCCCATCAGCGTAGGTAATCTACCTCCACGAGAGACGGTAGCTAGATGAACAGAAGAATTCTTCTGTCAACCTAGCACTGTCCACACCAGGAGTAGGTCAGCTTAAATATGCCACTCAGAGATATGGATTTTTTACACCCCTGAGGAAAGTAGCTGGGTTGACCTAAATTTTTATTGTAGAGCAGGCCTGAGGCTCACCATAGATTCACAGATTCCAAGGCCAGAAGGGATTGTTATGATTATCTAGTCTGACCTCCTGTATAACACAGGGCATAGAACTTTCCCAGAGTAATTCTTAGATTATATCTTTTGGAAATCCAATCTCCAGTGAGATATAAATATTAAGAGGAGGAGGAAGGCAAGTTTAATTGAAGAGGAAAATCTTTGAGAAAGACATACATAGTTACACAACTACATTTTAAAAACCACCACAAAACCCCCCAAAGCAAATAAGAAAAGACTAGAAACATTTTTATTAGAAAAAGTATATACTGATGAATTCTCATTAATGGACTATAACACAATTTATTTCTTTTTTTGGATCTATTTCAATTAAATGGAATAATTATATTTGCACTATGTAAAAAAAAAAAAAGGTATGCTTGCTCATTGAGAGATTGAAGTCCATAAAAATATTCAGAATTTTAAATATTCTAATGAGAGTGTATGCCAAAAATCAGTTACCACTTCTGTAGATACAGAAACACATTTGTGTGGACAAATGGGTAAATTATGAAACCGAATAGATACTTAGGTGCACAATTACCAATTTTTTCTACCAAAATGTTTTTAAGAGTTTTAGGTTGCATTTATTGTACTCATATTCTAGAATTTGGTACAAAATATTTAAGGCATTACAGTAATAATCTATCTTTACACACTTTAGCACTTAAAATAGTATTTCACTTACGGAAAGTCTGGTGGGTCAAAAGCAGTTTTAATAACACCAGCATAAATGGCAAAGATGGAAAGAATCACACAAGACAGGAAGACCAGTGCAAGTTTGTTGACATATTTAACTCCTACAAAGACTACTATGGCCATCAGAGCGATAATACATGTCCCGTAAACTCTCATGTTGTTTAACATAGCTTCTGTTTCTCCATCAGCATCTTCTGCTTTAAATATAGCAGCACTGGGAGAAATGTATGTCTACAAAAGAAAACAAATAAAATATTAAAACTTTCTTCAAAAGGTTCCCAACCTTTCACAATAACTACATTTTCTTGAGTTTACAGATCTTACATTTATGTTAGAGAATTTATCTGGTATGCATACTACCTTTAGTCTTTCAAGTGCTGATCCCTGTATCAGAGGCATAGATATACAAACAGTGAAAAAAGGACATTGAATCTGAAGAAACAAATAAGTTCCTCAATCTGCTGGAGGACAATACAATTAAGAAAAAAGTTATTTCCGAAGGTTTTTTATTATGGAGTCATAGCCATGGCTTCAATGTTGAAATTGTAACCACAGTTTCATAATACATCTTTCTTATAGCTCCCTATAGCTTCACAACAAAGACTAATTAAGACTGAAAATTGGCTGATTTATTCTTAGGTAAAAGAGATAAAGTTAAAAGTTAAACAAAGATAAAGTTAAACAGTTTTCAGTTACAGGTCATTACAATTAACATGATTTGAAAATGTGACCAATTTTTAATATTTCAGTGTTTAATATTTCTTATATTATGTAGCACAGACTATATCTGAAGAAAACAGCTTGTAATAAAACAATGTCAGTAGAAATTCTTATTCCAACTGTAAAGGTTATAGCATGTAAGAGTACAAGTATTTTGCTATACAACAGCTGTTTAATGAGAACACAAAGGCTTGTTCTTCTGATGATAGAGTCAGAAGTATCATAGAATATCAGGGTTGGAAGGGATCTCAGGAGGTCATCTAGTCCAACCTCCTGCTCAAAGCAGGACCAATCCACAACTAAATCATCCCAGCCAGGGATCTGTCAAGCCTGACCTTAAAAACCTCTAAGGAAGGAGATTCCACCACCTCCCTAGGTAACCCATTCCAGTGCTTCACCACCCTCCTAGTGAAAAAGTTTTTACTAATATCCAACCTAAACCTCCCCCACTGCAACTTGAGACCATTACTCCTCATTCTGTCATCTGCTACCACTGAGAACAGTTCTAGATTCATCCTCTTTGGAACCTGCTTTCAGGTAGTTGAAAGCAGCTATTAAATCCCCCCTCATTCTTCTCTTCCGCAGACTAAACAATCCCAGTTCCCTCAGCCTCTCCTCATAAGTCATGTATTCCAGTCCCCTAATCATTTTTGTCGCCCTCCGCTGGATGCTTTCCAATTTCTTCACATCCTTCTTGTAATGTGGGACCCAAAACTGGACACAGTACTCCAGATGAGGCCTCACCAATGTTGAATAGAGGGGAACGATCACGTCCCTTGATCTGCTGGCAATGCCCCTACTTATACATCCCAAAATGCCATTAGCCTTCTTGGCAACAAGGGCACAACTGTTGGCTCATATCAAACTTCTCGTCCACTGTAATCTCTAGGTACTTTTTGCAGAACTGCTGCCTAGCCGCTCAGTCCGCAGTCTGTAGCAGTGCATGGGATTCTTCCGTCCTAAGTGCAGGAGTCTGCACTTGTCCTTATTGAACTTCATCAGCTTTCTTTTAGCCCAATCCTCTAATTTCTCTAGGGCCCTCCGTATCCTATCCCTACCCTCCAGCATATCTACCACTCCTCCCAGTTTAGTGTCATCTGCAAACTTGCTGAGGCTGCAATCCACGCCATACTCCAGATCATTAATGAAGATATTGAACAAAACCGGCCCCAGGACCAACCCTTGGGGCACTCTGCTTGATACCAGCTTCCAACTAGACATGGAGCCATTGATCACTACCCATTGAGCTCAATGATCTAGCCAGCTTTCTATCTACCTTATAGTCCATTCATCCAGCCCATACCACTTTAACTTGCTGGCAAGAATACTGTGGGAGACCGTGTCAAAAGCTTTGCTAAAGTCAAGGAATAACATGTCCACTGCTTTCCCCTCATCCACGGAGCCAGTTATCTCGTAATAGAAGGAAATTAGATATGTCAGGCATGACTTGCCCTTGGTGAATCCATGCTGACTGTTCCTGATCACTTTCCTCTCCTCTAAGTGCTTCAAAATTGATTCCTTGAGGACCTGTTCCATGATTTTTCCATGGACTGAGGTGAGGCTGACTGGCCTGTAGTTCCCCAGATCCTCCTTCTTCCCTTTTTTAAAGATGGGCACTACATTAGCCTTTTTCCAATCATCCAGGACCTCCCCCAATCGCCACGAGTTTTCAAAGATAATGGCCAATGGCTCTGCAATCACATCCACCAACTCCTTTAGCACCCTCGGATGCAGTGCATTCTGTATCATTTAGTTCAAATGGTATCACTAAGAAAAATTTTTTTTAACAAAAATACAACTTTAGCTCCAGATGTTGCAGATACTTATGCATGTGCTTAACTGTGTGTACACTAAGTAGTTCCAATTAAATTATGGGACTACTCATGTGACGAAAGTTACATACCTCCTTAAGCTTGCAGGATCAGGGCCTTAATTTTCCTTTTTTCTTTTTTGTAAAATTCAAATATGACACCTTATTAGCAGTAATATTTTAAAAATAGTAATTATAATTTAGTTAATTATAAAGTTTATTCTGAAGTTGCAATAGCACAATTTTTTGAATTAGTGTTACAAAACCTCAACCTAAATGAATGATTTAAAAAAAAAATCAAGTGATTTAAATCAGCTGCTTAAATCACTCCACCGAGAAATTTAAAGTGTAACTTGGTAGAAACATCATACTGTAGTTAAAGTAAAACCAGGATCCCATTATATATCTGATTTTCATACTCTTTATTGTATTTTTGGAGAAAACCTATTTCCAGAAATGTTACTTGATATAGAAATGCACAATGTATGGAGTTTGCATTGTTTTCTGAAGTTTATTCAGGACAAAGAGAGGTAGGAAATCTGCTGCACCTGTATCTAAGGTATTACAAAAAAAAAATTATTTCACAATATCTGATAAAGAGTATCTGATTACATAGTTAAAGACCATATAATAATGCATGCACTTACCAATGAAATGTTATCTTTGTATTTTCTTGATTTATGGATGCTTAATTGTGCAAAATTAATGGTCTCTAAGTACTTTTGTGATGGATTATATATCTTTCTTTCTACATACGAGGGCTGTCAAATTATTTAAAAAGTTAATTTGATTAATCACAAAACTAAAAAAATAGTTGTGATTAATCACAGCTTTAATCACGCTGTTAAACAATAAACAATACCATTTATTTAAATAATTTTGGATGTTTTCTACATTTTCAATTATATTGATTTCAACTACAACAGAGAACACAAAATGCACAGTGCTCACTTCACATTATTTTTTATTACAAATATTTGCATTGTAAAAAAGCTAAAAATAAATAGTATTTTTCAATATTGTGTGTGTGTTGGGGAAGAGAGAGAGTGTGTGTGTCTATATGTGTGTGTTGGGGAAGAAAGCGTGTATGTGTGTGTGCTGGGGATGATAGAGAGAGAGAGTGTATGTGTGTTTGTGTTGGAGGGAGAGAGTGTGTGGGGGGGGAGAAGAGTGTGTGTGTGTGTGTGTTGGGGGAAAAGAGAGAAACAGTGTGTGTGCGCGCGCGCGTGTGTGTGTTGTGGGAGGGGGGGTCCGTCTCTTTAAGCAGAGCACTCAGGAGCTTGAACAGTTTTCCAGTAGCAGCACTCACTCCTGAGCCAGAAGCAGCAGCAGACAGGCTCCCCCTGTCCCCCAACCCCGGCTCAGTGGCGACCAGGTACATAGTCAGGGGGAGAGGGACACCTTGACATCAGCCCCCCTGCATCTCCCCTGCCCTTGCTGTGCACAGCAGACAGGATGCAGGCTCCCTGTCTGGAGCAGCTTGGCTAGAGGCAGCTCCATGGTGGGGGGGGAGGGAGGGAGTGGTGGGAGAAGCAGTGGAGCATGGCAGTGGGAGGAGGGGACCCCTGCCCTAAACAGGCGCCCTGGGTAGTGGCTCCCCTCACTCATGCCTAAGCCTGGCCCTGTGCAGCAGGTGGCAGGGGGCTGTGCTCCTCTCTCACCTCTGGAAGGTGTTTAATCAGCTATCCCAAATTGCCGCAGCTGATGCCTCCCTCCCTGTCCGCCACGGAGTCCAGTCTACAGAGGTGTGTGATTAACACTTGTTAAGAAAATAACATGTTAATTTGTTTTGAGTTAATCGCATGTGTTAACTGCGATTAATTGACAGGCCTACTACATACACAAAGTTTGTGTGTGCATGTGTGTAACAATCATATAGATTTTAAAAGTATTTTATGGTTATTTGGGAATTTGTAATTATGTGTTAAAATTTCATTTGAAAATAAAAAGAAGATACAATTGATGAAAATACTATCAAATACACCAGTATAATTTTAAAGAGAACAAAAGTTAGGAACCCCTAGGGACTCACCAATTGCCATTTTCTTTTTAGGGTTTAGAGCAGTGGTTCTCAAAGCCGGTCCGCCACGTGTTCAGGGAAAGTCCCTGGCATGCCGGACCGGTTTGTTTACCTGCCGCATCCGCAGGTTTGGCCGATCACGGCTCCCACTGGCTGCAGTTCACTGCTCCAGGCCAATGGGGGCTGCAGGAAGCGGCCCGGGCCAAGGGATGTGCTGGCTGCCCTTCCTGCAGACCCCATTGGTCTGGAGCGGTGAACCGTGGCCAGTGGGAGCCGTGATCGGCCGAACCTGCAAACACGGCAGGTAAACAAACTGGTCCAGCGCGCCAGGGGCTTTCCCTGAACAAGCGGCGGACCGGCTTTGAGAACCACTGGTTTAGAGTATATGATTCATTGACATAAAAATAGTCATAGCTTAAAGTGAAACTTTAGTAAACAGAAAATATTGTTAATAGTCTAATAAAGGTAGTAAATGTTGCCAAATTTGAAATTTCTGCATTAATGATGTGTGATGATATTTCTTGCTAGCAAGACACTTATGTATATACAAGGAAATAAATGTGTCAAATTCCAGTGTTCCTATTTACTCTGTCAACACTGAGTTAGCATTGTCCATTCTAAAAAACTGCATTAACTAAGGACTACTTTCCTTGATAGGTAGTTTCCTATGTCTTTTACACAACAACAGATTTGTCAAGTTCCAATGGCCACATTTCATCTAAAGTCAACATTTCTCCAACACTCACTGCAGTCACCACATTCTCTATATTATTGCCATTTTTAACTATTTATTTTTCATCAACAATTTACACAATTTCTTTTAAAAACTATGGAACTTCACAGAAAAAGAACATTGTTTAATGTTAGTTAATGTTACTTTGTGCTACTTTAATAACATTTTCCTCAAACACTGAAAAGCTAAGAAATAAATAACTACAGTTAACAACTACACTTCTGTTTCATAACCTACACCAAAATAGAACTTATCAACTCTTATCTATTACTATCCTCTTTCCACAACACATTGTTAACATCCATGGCTTCATAAACGATCATATAGCCTTAACTGACATACATACGTACATACAAGGAATATACAAATGTTAAAAGTACAGCTCCTTTAAACATATGCTTTTCTTTTTGGATTTTTTAGAAAAAGGGGAACAACTTAATGTGTACTTTCTTTGAAGAAAATGTTATTAATGTAGAGCAGAGCAACCTGAACTATTAACATTATTTTTTTCTGTTCTTTTATGTAAGCACTACAGATGGCAAATCAGAGACAGTGACTAAAAATATTCGATCAGGCAATCTTGAAAGCAAACATTTCCAAGGAAAACTGGAGTCTTATAGATAACTGCAATGAGGATTATAAAAACTTCACTGATAAGTTGAGGCAATGCATGAAATTAGCCAAGAAAGAAAGACCAAAAAGAACGAAGGGAAGAATCGCCAAGGAAACGCAGAACTTGCTCGAGAAGTGGAGGAATATGAAGCAAAATGATGGTGACAAATTGAGTACTCCCTCCTCTGCAAGTTGATAAGAAGAAAACTAAAGGAGGACTTCGAGAAGTACCGAAATGAAAGGCTCTTAAAGACAGCTGATGGTCACAGAAGCCTCAAAAAATGCAAAATTGACACTGTGCAGGTCAACAATAACGGCGCTGAAGAACAGGGACGGAAAACCAGTAATTGACAGAACAGGGATGGAAGCAATCTGCAAACATTTCAATGCCAAACTGTTCACATCTCAGATAAATGTCCCGGTACCAACACTTCAAGAGACCAAAGAGCATGTACTCCCAATCCTCGTCAGCCAAGTTTGACAGACAGTTCACCAAATGAAGGAAGGAAAAGCCCCAGGTAAAGATGGACTGACAGTCGAAATGATAAGAGCTAGAGGCCAAAACCTCTGGGAAACCCTTGCTCAGAGGTTCAGCCGTTACTTGGCAATGTAGAAGATACCATCTAGGTGGAAGCAGTCCAATACCGTTCTGCTGTATAAGAAGGGTGATCATAAAGATCTAAAGAACTATCATCCAATATGCCTGCTCTCACATGTCTACAAGCTGTTCACCAAAATAATAACAAACCGACTCTCACAGAGTCTGGATGAGCAGCAGCCAAGAGGGTAGGCAGGCTTTCGAAGGAACTTCAGCAAAATGGACCATAGTTTCACTTTAAACCAGCTATTGGACTGCGCAAGGGAATACAAATTCCCCTTATGTATTGCCTTCATCAACTATGAAAAAGTTTTTGACAGCATAGAGATCAGTGCAGTGTTAAAAACTCTTGTGGAGCAGGGCATCAACACAAACTATATCAAACTATTAAAGGAAGCAAATTCTGACTTCACTACAGATATAACCTTATTTGACACTCCCCCTCGCATCCCAGTTAAGAAAGGTGTGAAACAAAAAGACACAGTTTCACCTAAACTCTTCACAGCCTGCCTTGAAATGATAATGAGGCGGATGAATTGGAAGGGTGGAATCAACATCAACGGAGAGCAGTTAAACCATCTCAGATTTGCAGACAATATTATGTTGATCGCCAAAAATATTATCAAACTATAGAAAATGTTGCGAGAACTCAACACAAAAAGCAGCCAAGCTGGACTTAAAATTAACCACTCCAAAACTAAATGTATGCAGTCGGATACCTTTCCAAAAGCCCAAATAACAATCAAGGGAGAACAAATAGAAGAAGTTGAGCAATATGTCTATTTGGGCCAAGAAATTAACATGCACCATGATCAGGAAGGTGAACTCTTGTGAAGAAAGAAAGCAGGTTCGTGCACATTCAATTCTATCAAGGATGTCCTCCAAGGAAAAATCAACAAGGCAACACGCGCCAGCCTCTTCAACTCAACCATATTGCCAGCAATGTTGTACGGCAGTGAAACATGGGCGCTGATGAAGACAGAGGAGCAGCAACTGTCTGTCACGGAGAGGGCAATGGAAGGAAGAATTCTGGGAATTTCAATCCATGACCGAGTCCCCAGTTAAGTGATCAGACAGCAGAGTGGAGTGCAGGACATCATTGTTGAGGGAAGGCACGGTAAAATGCGATGGGCTGGGGATATAGCAAGGCTCACTGACAATCAATGGATTGCAGCTGTCGCCAAGTGGTACCCATTGGAACTGAAGAAACCACTCGGCCAATCTCCAAAGAGATGGGAAGATTGTATCATGAAAAGACATGGCCGCACATGGAGAAGGAAGGCCTGGATATGAGAAGAATGGAAGACATGTTGTGATTGGCGCAATCTATACAAGGGCTGAAGGAGCAATCAATCAAGGTGACAAGATGAGATACTCCTATTGTTCAGATGACAAATTATTCCTTAAACACATTCCATGCTAGATTCTTTGAAAGAAAGTCAGCATCTCAAACGATAAATATCAACAAAACATTTTAAAAAATAATGGTGACTTGGAATGCATTTTAGGTTGAGTATATCTGCTCTATTAGCTCCAAAAACTGCTGGAATATAGTCAATCTTAAAAGATAAAATACTTACCAACAAAATTTCAATGGTACCAAGAATATACATCGCTCCTGCAAAAGTTGTACCCAAGTAAAAACAGAGTCCCACTGCTCCGCCAAACTCTGGCCCTAAAGATCTTGAAATCATGTAGTAAGAGCCACCTGCTGTGAAACAAAAAAAAGTAAAATTTAAAAGAAGTCAGACCCTGAGAGATGCACATCACATCCTAGACAATACATTTGAGTTACCAAGTCAACTTAGGTCCCAAATTTAGATATAATATTTTTGTAAAAATCGTTTATTCCAACCAAAATTTGGGACCTAAGTTAACCTGGCAACTCAAATTTCTGCTCTGCATGAGAAACAGATTTTTTTTTAAAGAAATTTAAATGGAAACAATATTTTTAAAGGAATAGCATTCACCTGCAGTGCTTGCAACCAAAATATTGTTTCATTCTATTCAAATATCAGAGCTAGAAAGTAAAAATAATTAGAAAAGGTATAAGAACAAATCAAATTGCTAACTATATTTTTAATTGTCTAACAAAGTTAATATAAAATACACTAATATCATAAATGGTAAAAGTAAATTAGACTATTCATATTGTTTCAGTTTTAATCCAGCTAGCATGGGTAACAATAGCAATGCAGACTTCAGTGTGTGTAGTTCAAGTCTGGCACAGACCCAGGGTATATAATTAGCTTGCTAGCCCACTCTTTGCTGTCTTCACTATCATTAAAAGAAAAGGAGTACTTGTGGCACCTTAGAGACTAACCAATTTATTTGAGCATGAGCTTTCGTGAGCTACAGCTCACTTCATCAAATAAATTGGTTAGTCTCTAAGGTGCCACAAGTACTCCTTTTCTTTTTGCGAATACAGACTAACACGGCTGTTCCTCTGAAACCTTTCACTATCATTGTTACCCATGCTAGCTAGATTCAAGCTAGCTCAAGTAGGCTAGCCCATGCACAACTTTTGCTGTGTAGACATGCCCAAAGTTATAAGTAACACTGGTAAGTATATCTACATTTTTTTAATATATTAAATTTTAACCTGGCAATACTAGGTTAAAATTACTATACTAATAATAAGCTTTCATGAGCTGTAGCTCACGAAAGCTTATGCTCAAATAAACAGGTTAGTCTCTAAGGTGCCACAAGTACTTCTTTTCTTTTTGCGGATACAGACTAACACGGCTGCTACTCTGAAACCTATACTAATAATAATACTAGAGGTTTATTTTCTTATGCTTTATAGTGTGTGTAACATGGTACTAACTCAACATATTGAAATTAAAGTTAAAGTATTGGTCTGAATTCTGTATGTTCTTCTCCCAACTCCTTCCCCACCAACATCATCACACCTATGCAGGAGCCAGACATATTACAGAGCTACTCCTGAGTAGTTAGATAGAGGTGGGGGTGCCTAATACCCTATGGCACTCTTCCAGTCTAAAGAAGCATAGCCAGATGGCCACAGGGTTCAGACAGGTGTGATTCCCCCGCATACCTTATGGTATGCAGAAGCAAGCACTTGAGGAAGAGCATGTAGAGCCTTTACAAAACAGTCTTAAAGAGTGCTGATAAATGGAGGAAAGGGATATCAGTGACAAAGGGTTTCAGAGAACAGAGGAGCATAGAAGGGGACAAGAAAAAGAAGAGTCTTTTATCCATGCTAAAATGTTAAATACTCACAATTTTTAGAATTTTTTTTAAAGCTCTTGCAGTTTCCAAGGCTGATACAATCTTCCTCCACTTTCCCTCCATTAATCCCATATCCCATCCTTCTGCTGCAGTACACCCCCACTCCTATAGACCTGCTAAAATTTGCAAGAGGACAGCCCCCATTTTGATGAGCCTCAGAAGATCTGTTGCAGAAGGATTCCCCTCCTGTGAGTAATGTAGTATATACCAATCTTATTCAAACTTCTGGTGCTCATTCAAAAAGCTGGCAAATTCACAAACAAAACTCTGTTAAAAATAGCTAAGATTAAAAGAGTGTATTTCTTACTACATGTGGTGAAAGGAGCAATGAAGGTTTAAAGATTCATCTTTAAGAATGAGTTTGGAAGACATAGTCTTTATGAAGATTTACAAATGTGATATATTTCACGTTGTTGTGATGTCTACAGAAAACTTGACAACTGTTAGGCTGTTTGTATGCAGAGATCACTGCCTATCATGATGATGCATACCATCTCATTGTTGTCTCATACTGTCTGTATCCATCAGCTGTCTCTTATTTTTATTGTAAGCTCTTCCAAGCAGGGACCATCTTTTTTGTTCTATGTTTGTAAAGCACCTACCACAATGGGGTCCTGGTCCATGACTAGGGCTCCTAGGTTCTACATTAATACAAGTAAATAATAATCTTCAGAACTGCAGACATTACTAAGTCACAAATGAAAACCCTAACTGAACCAAGAAAATAAATAAAGAGCAATTGGTGTGGAAAAATAGACCAGACTAACTTCAATACCTGGAAGGATATTGGAACACGTTATTAAACAATCAATTTGCTCAAACCTAGAGGACAATAAGGCAATAAGTAAAGTTAAGATTCAGTCACACGTATTTTTAGTAAAAGTCAGGGACAGGTGGTGGGCAATAAACAAAAATTCACAGAGCCTGCTGCTTTGCCTTGGGGTCACTGCTCCAGTGGCCCCAAGGCTGACAGCTGCTCCACCCTACCACTGAGGAAGTCACAAAGGTCCCAGAAAGTTACAGAACCGATGACATCCATGACAGAATCATACCCTTAGCAATAAGTAATAGTCAACATGGATTTTCAAGAATTAATATTGTCAAACCAATCTAATTTCCTTCTTTGTTAGGGTAACCAGCCTAATGTATAGGGGGGAAGCAGTAGTTGTGCTATATCGGGACTTTTGTAAGGGTTTTGGCACATTCCCACAAGACATTTTCATGAGAAAACTACAGAAATATAAATGAAGTTATTATAAGGAGGTGAAAAACTGATTGAAAAACGATACTCAAAGAGTAGTTATCAATATCAAACTGGGAGATGTTTCAAATGGGGTCTTGTAGGGGTCTGTCCTAAGTATGGTACTGTGCAATATTTTCATTAATGACTTGGGATGATGGAGTTGAGAGCATGCTTGTAAAATCTACAGATGACACCAATTTGGGTGAGCTTGCAAGCACTTCGGAGGGCAAGATTTGAAGTCAAAATGATCTTGATAAATTGGAGAATTGGTCTGAAATCAATAAAATGAAATCCAGTAAAGACAAGTGCAAAGTATAGTAAAAGCTGTTTTATCTGGCACATCACCAATTGGAAAGTTCTATAAACCAACATTTCTGATCTTCATTGAAATTCCAGTTTATAATCCAGTTGGCGCGGGACCAGCAGTGGGTTGGGGTAAGGAGAGGGTGTGGAGCACAGGCCCTGGAAGGGAGTTTGGGTGTGGGAGGAGACTTGGGGCAGCGGGTTGGGGTACGAGAGGGGGTGCAGGTGGGTGCCAGATCCGGGGGGGGGGGGTCACCTTGGGCGGCTCCCCACAAGCGGCGACCTGTCCCAGCTGCTCCTAGGCGGAAGCGCGGCAGACACCTCTGCACACTGTCTCCACCCCAGGCACCGCCCCCACAGCTTCCATTGGCCATGGTTCCCAGCCAATGGGAGCTGTAAAGCTAGCACTTGGGGCTGGGGTCAGGCAGCATGCAGAGCCTGCCGCGCCTCCACCTCAGAACAGCCGGGACAGGTCACTGTTTGCAGGGAGCCACCCAAGGTAAGCGGCCCCTGGATCCGGCATCCCAAGCCCTCTCCTGTGCCCCAAACCCCTTCCCACATCCAAACTCCCTCCCAGAGCCCGCACCCCAGCCCCTCACCCCGTCCCACACCCAAACTTCCTCCCTCTGAGTTAACCTGCATTTTTCACTTACTGGAACCCCCACTACCCCAACATGCTGGATAACACAGCTTTTACTGTACTAGGTTTAGGAAGGAGAAATCAAATATATGAATACAAAATGGGAAATAATTGGCCATGCAATAATACTGCAAAAAAGGATCTGGAATTTATAGGGGATCACAAATTGAATCTGAGTCAACAGTGGGATGGTGTTAAGAAAAAGGCAAATATCACTCTAGGAAGTATTAACAGGAATGTCGTATGTAAGTCATGGGAGGTAATTGTTCCACTCTACTTGCAATTGGTAAGGCCTCAGCTGGAGTATGGAGACATGGAAGTTCAATCTCTATTAGCCGTTAAAAAGTAAGATGACCAAATAAAAATGAGATATCTCACACAATGTAAAACAAAACAATATGCCAAAGGAATTGGACTGTACTTTTGATTAAATCAGTTGAATTAAGGACATATCTCCCCCATTTGTCTACACACCAATGTTGCCCCACCTATTACAGCACCATTTGCACTCAAGATCAAGTTAGTAACATTATGCCTATAACCATTATCAAATCTGGATTTTTGGAATGCTAAGTGATATGTTCAAGTAGTATGATAAGGATGCTGCCATCACTGAGTGTACTGTAGGTAGTACCAGACTATCGAGAATTCACAGGAGCTACTCAGATTCAGCATGGAACTAACATGCATGGAGAATTTAAAAGTTATAAAGAAAATCAGTCAATCAAACAAAATAACTGGACACATTATATGGTGGTACTAGAAAAACTATAATGTGGTGAATATGCCTAGATCAAAGGAAATTTAATAACACTATGAAAACACATTTTTCAATTTCAAGAGATTTATAGTAGACGGAATGATGCTAAAAATACCACTGTTGGCTGTATCCAGAGGATTTTGATGTACACAAATTGATGTCAAAAGATTCTGGCTTCATAGGGCACCAAAGCTTCAAAAAACACAAAAGCCAGAGGAGCACTTGATTGACATTCAGTGTGCAAGGGGAACATCAAAATTACTCACTGATGACAAGACTATCATAGTAGAATTGTTGATGGATATTACATATTCGATTCTCCACCCCCATTATCTCCTATTTCTGACTAACCTCAATTTTGGAGATGTCAGCCAAGCTAAAGACTTCAGGTCAGAGGACTCTTAAAACTCTGTCAATTAGGGAAAAGCATAACCATGCTCTATCAACTAAGACAATGGGGTTAAGAGACAGACATCTCTCAGAGTTTGGAATCTACATGAGGCCAAAAGTAGC